AGAAGGTGTCATTGTGTGAAGGCTTAAAAATGTACGTGTTCGTTAAACATTCATCCATAACAAATAAAATAAACATTTGAAGGCAATTCAATTGGAAGAAATCAAAGAGAAACAATGTAGCTATAGATTTCAACAAATAACATGCATTTATATACGTTTGATATACACAAGTGAATTTTAAGATTGCTTGTTCAATGTGATAAGTGAGATAAATTTGTAAGGAGTGATTTGGTGTATGAAAGCTTGTAGTTAAGGTTTGTCTATGAAATTAAAACAGTTTGCTTTCTGCAAGGTGTAATGTCACTTGTGTGGGTTCAGATATTAGTCTGTATGTGTGCGACAATTGTAAATTTTGTTTAAAGTCATAAGGAGTTAGGTGCCTTTGACTGATATGGTAAGTTGACTAAATACAATTACTACTTCAGTAGTGAATAATGTTATTTTTTCTAGTAAATTGTAAGTTGGGTCAATTCATGCGACAAGACTTTCTGAGGTGTTGAGCTGCTGAGAGAGAGAGTGACAGTTGTTGAGTCAGTGTGCTGGTGTGCGTGGAGTTTGTTGATATCACTCAAAGACTTAGTTACTGACTGGTATGCTGAGGTTGATTAAAGGTACAATTACTATGTCATAGTGGTAATGTCACGTTTTTGTCAATTGTAATTTAAGTATCTTCACGTGGCAATAGCTGTGTGGGTTGTGTTGAGTTGCTGAGAGAGAGTGGTGGTTGCTGAGTCAGTATGTCAGCACGCATGGTGGTTGTTGAGTCAGTCTGTTGGCATCTCTTGCAATTCTGAGATAGCAGACGTTCTTTGGCAGAAAAGTGGGGTAATCCCACATATGTAACAGTTAGCAAATACAAAGTTATGATGAAATATTTTCACCTTAAGAAATTAACATGTCCTCCCATCTCCCTCACCCCCCCCCCAAAAAAAAGAAAGAAAAAATTAAGCGTTCATAACAACAAGAGTAGAAGAACACTATGCGCATAGCTGGGTATCTGAAAGAAAACTTTAGGTTTAAAAACAACCGATGAACTGAATACATTTATGTATTGTAGCCTGACACCGAAACCACAGTCAATCTATGGTAGGCACTATTTGATTTAGCAAGCTTAGATTCAAAGAGCCACAATAATGAGATATCCAGTAAGGATCGAACTCACAACATAATGTTTTGCTGTTGTTGTTGTTGTTAAATATTGCTCTATGCCAGGCGCCATCTACTGGACAATTGTTAAAGGGAAATAACTCTGTACATCATAACTACATGTGTATTTTTCTTTGATAACACGTGGATAATTCTTCCGGCTGCTTCGAGTAAGTAAATCCCATAAACAATATGTACATTTTATTTTTAGAAATTGATATTTCGTTGCTGCCACTTTATATTTCTCTAGTAGAAAAGAAATATTATGTTTAAAATCATTGCGGATTTCTACATAGAATAAAAAACAAAACATTCGACTTGTTTTGTTTTGTTTTTGTATGATTTTTTTCTTACAAGCAGTTATTTCTTTTTCAAGATTATTTGTTTTTATTCTGCTTCTTAACTCACTGAGCTTGAAATAGAAAAATTATTATTTTATGATTCATGTGTTACTTTGTTTTCCTTTCATCTCACGACAACCTTGAAATTAAGAGTTAATTGAAATCAGAACTTTAAAAACAGTTTTAAAATGGGTAAAAAATATAGTTTAAAGTAGATTTTATTTAAAGTTGGTTATTTATATTTTACAATACATAAATAGATTAAAAAAAAAATGGATTTTGGTTATATTTGTCCTTTTGTCGAATAAAACTGATTTCATCAAAAATATTCAAATCAAAATGTATTAGTTTTTCTCAAATAAATCACGATTTTTGTCCCGTGACTACGGCGCCTTTTCATCTGAAGAAAATGAAATGAATGTGTAATTATTTGTTGTACAATGTTTATTTAGTTTTGGGGGGTTTTTGGGTTTTTTTTTTTTTTTTTTTTTTGTAGATTTTTAAAATTATTTAAAATCGAATAAATGTTAAAATTATGTTTTGCCAGGTGTAAATAAATAGGATATAAAACATCAACGTATAATTATGTTTTACAGTTTCTGTTTACACTTTTATTTTTTAAAACAAGATATTTTGATGCACGAGCAAAGTTGGATTTTTCTGAAACTAAAATTTGTTTTGTTTTTGTAAAGATGATTTTGTATATCCATATCATAAAAAGGAACCCTGAAACTTTCCAAACAAGGAAAATAAAGATTTTTATGAATTTCAAAAAAAAAAAAAAAAAAAAACCCTGTCATCTTATTTGCTACAATCATTTAAGAAGAAAAAGAGTAATTTAAAAACAAAAACAAAACAATGATTTTCAATCAATGTCGTTTTAAACAAAAATTGAAAGAATTCGTGAATATTTTCATTTTCCATTTTTTTTCAATAATTTGGATTAGTTTTTCTTTTTCGACACCATAAGGAAATACATCACCCATAAATAATATACATATTTTTTAAAGTTATTTTTTCAGTGATTACGAAGAAAATAATTATAATTTAAGGCATTCATAAGAATTGTGGTTTAATTTAAAGTTAAATTTTTTTTAAAAATCTCGAGGCAATAATAATGGAAAAACAAAAACAATAAGCAACTAAAACACTGAATCTAAGAAGTTTTCTCAATTTTTTTTGTGGATAAAAAAGGAACATTTTTACATTTACACTAACTTATTTACTAATTTTTATTTTTTTTTTTTTTTTACTTTTTTTTTTAAGATAAGGCAAATATTTTAATCAGGCATAATACGCAGATTTTTAAATTTTAAATCTGGATAAAATGCCAAATTCTCCGTTTGCAGGACTAAAAATTTGCGCTCATCATCTTAGCAGACCTATTTCGAGTTGAAAATAAATCAGCATGACTGGTCGTTTCTAAGAATGACCATCTATTCAGGCCTATTTGTGTTTCTTCAATACCTACACGGAGAGCCAACCAAACTTAGTTATTTGTGCCCTACTTACTTGGGGCACATTTCGAATTCAGAGTTGTCCTCCTATACTAGTTGCTGACCACAGCTTGAGAGTTCAATCTGTCCTTTAACTCATAGCTGAGTGGAGAATAGATGGATTCATACCTTTTCCAACGGTTTGTACAAAACGAAAAGTGAATAACAATCTTGAAAGTATTTCGAACTCGGCTTGCCAATTTCTCCTTCAAAGCTTTTAAAAAACATTACAGTACAGAGTACACCATCTGCACATTCACCTGCATTTGCTACTCACACAAATTGTTCAGTTATTGCTTGCTCTGTTTCTACAGAGTCTAAGCTTCCCTAGGAATTAATCACAAATACTATGTCACAAACGTCACAAACCAATGCTTTAATCTGGGAGGTTGTTGTCTTATGGAACAATCCTAAGTGTATATGTTAGACCATAGTTGGAAGAATGTCAAATATACCAATGGGAGGAAGGCTTGATTATGAGCTCACTGTTGTCTCAAGTGATGGCAAATATATATACGGAATAGATTGAGGAAATGACTTTAGGGATGACACTATTAAAGCCAACAGTATGACTGAGGTACATAGATGACACTTTCATAATCTGACCTTACCAAGAGGCTGTACAAATAGTGCTGGACCATGTGAACTCAGTAAAACCTTTGATTCAATTCACAATTGAAGAAGAAAACAATAATCAGCTGGCCTTCTTGGATGTACAAATAACAGCAAATGGGGTGAAGATATTTGTATATCACAAACCTAATCATCACTAGACAATACCTTAATTTCAATTTCTACCTTCCATACAGCATAAAGAAAATGATTGTCTGATGGTTACAACACTGTGCAAACATCATGTTGTAATGAGTTGGTCGGTCAACTTGACACCCCCAAAATGAGTGGAGGTAGGCAGGTGCGGGAACTGTGATTGGTAGCTGGCTTGTTGGTGTTTTGCATAGGTGAGTTACCAAGCTCTATGTAAAGGGCTGGAATGAGAAGGAGGGCAGTTTTTTTCAGTCTCAGAAGTGGAGACTGTGTCCGTCGCTACGACAGCAGGAGAGAAAGAGACGAAATCATTTACTTTTTTGTGACACATTCCAACACACACGTGACATTCCAGACACATACCAATGGACAATGATCAACATCAAATGTACTATCAGAATAACAACTACCCTGCAAACATAACACCAGCTTCTGCAGACAAAAACAAGGGTAATGGTTGACTGAAAAACTGTCTGTCTCTCTTACATTAAGGGCTTATTGGAAAAGATTCAAGACAATATTCAGAATCAGATTGACCCTATGGAGAAATCACTGCAGACTCAAAAATAACATTACCAAAAACTATGTATATCATACTTTGCAGTTATGGCAAAGAATACAAATGTGATCCAGCTGTCCCCTAAAAGACTGTACTTAGGGATGATAAAATAAATTCAGGCATAGCTCATCATGTATGGTGGGGAAAGTGTAGTCACCAACCTCTGTGGAACAAAATAAAAATACTAGACTACTGGAGATTCAGATGTCTGAAGGAATAAACGTGGATGAATTATGATATGAAGCTGTTAATAAATAAATAATAAAAAAGAGAAATGACTGCAGCAAGAAAAGAGAAACCTTGGTGAATGAAGTTAATCAGTAGTCTCAGTCTCAGCAGCAGGAAGTTTAGGTTTAAAGTTCCAAGTTGTCCACTCATAATTCAATCCTGGCACCATGGTAATTGTGAGTAGAATTCTTGGGCTGAGTAATGCAAACTTAGAATCAATGAAAACAGGGAAGCTATACTAAGCAGTATTAAATAAAATGGTATATCCGTGGACAATATATCTGAGATATCCTTAAATAGTGGAATGAGTAAGTTTCAGTTTGAAATTCCCTTAAGACTACCAGAGAGCAGAATGGTTGAAATGTGATAATAATAACAACAACAACAATGATGAGGATAATATTCCAAATGTAAGTAATGGAAATATTAACAGAACAGTGTTTTTTTTTTCTTGTCTAGGTACCTATGGATGATAAAGAAAATAAATTATTGTGTCCAGGTTGTTCAGTAGAATTAAAAGAGCCCTACATCAGGTGTGCAGAATGTCCTCAGCCAATCAAAATATGTCTCAAGTGTTTTGGACAAGGATTTGAATTTGCTTCTCATCAAAACAATCATTCTTATAGTGTTGTGGTGAGTTTTTTTTTGTTCTATTGCTATCATAAAACAGCTTACATACAAAAATTGGATACTTTTTAAAAGTTGTGATCCCAAGAAGAATATGCTGGTGACATTAAAGAAGATTTTGGTGAATAATACTGTTCTCATAGATTAAATTTTCAAAATGCCAAGAGACTTTAGGAATTTTCCTGATTGCTGTTGAGTTGATGACAAATAAGTAAACATGAATAACTACCATTTTTGTGAATATTTGTTTTAAATTCTTAAATGAACCAGAACTACTTGAATCTGTTCAGAATTAATTTGAGCATCATTTGTCTGATTGATCAGATAGAGAAGAGTAGTATAATTCTGGTAAAGTTGGTGGTTGCATTTCATAGGTACATTCAAAACTTCCACTTTGCCAGATTTTGGTAAGAACCATCTGTCACTGCCCTTGTTTTATCAATTTGTTTGGTATGTTGTCAATTTCTGCTACTTTTCCTTTCTTCAGTAATCTTATGGCTTCCTCAACTTGAAACAATATTTGAAAAATCATCATCGTTTGTTGACTTGTGGCTATTCTTGTTATGCATTTTCCTCCTTTTGTCTTGCCTTTGTTTTCATGCTCAACTCTCTTTGCTTTGTCATATCTTTTACAACTTAAAATGCCTTTCTACTGTTGTTCTTGTTCATGCAGTTTTCTATATCAGTGCACTGTTCTTTAATCCAGTTCTGTTTGGCTTAAAAATAATGTAGCACTTTGTTTGGTCAAAATTCAGTCTTTTGGTGGTGAGACCACCATTAAGTTATAAGATTATTTATGCCTTTATGATGCCAAGAAATATTTGAATGCATTTTCTGCATTTTCTTTGCAATGGAATGTCTTTTGGCTTAAAAATATTGTCAAGATGTTTGAAAAAGTGGTAGAGATTGAGGAAATATGTTGGCTGTGGCAAAGTCTCATATTCCAAATTGGTGGGCTTCTGCAGTGTGACTCTGGCAATATGTGGCTGAGAATTGTTATGAAGCAGAATTGGACCTCATTGATTAATCAATGCTAGTCACATTTTGCTTAACTGAATAAGAATTTTATCCAGTTGCTGGCAGTAAACTTTGGCAGTGATGTTCTGGTTAGATTTCAGAAATCAGTAATAGATAACACCAATGGCAGACCATCAGACCACCATAATCTTTTGTTGGTGCAATTTTGGTTTTGGAAAGTGTTTGGGACCTTAATCATGATCAAGCCATTGAGCTAACGATTTATGATTGTCATACCAAATCCATTTCTCATCACAATTCACTATTTGATCAAGAAATGTATAATTCGAATTTCGCAGATGTTGCATTGAATGCACTTCAAAATGACTTTCACTGTGTTCATGTGAAACCAATTTATCAAGTTTCTACACCTTGCCAATTTTCTTGAGATGGCCTGATATTGTTGAAATTCTGACATACATTATCTGAGACATTTCTCTGCCACTTTGATGTGGGTTTTGTTTAACTCATGTTTTCAGATGCTGATTGTCAGTTGCAGATGAACATCCTCTACTACCTTGATCTTCCATATTTGTATCCCCAATAGTGAATTTTCAATATCAACACCATACTGTCCAATAACAAGTGGATTCTTTGCCCCATGCTCTGTTAATGTTAGATGCACTTTGAGAAGCTTTATGATCAAGCTTGAACTCATACAAAAAAATAAAGGCATTTTATATTCAAGATGAGGGTATATAATGTTTTAAGTTAAATTCTAAAAGAGGTTGATATAAAATTAACAAAGAGGACACTTTAATCATTAGGAATGAGTAATATATTTTTGTGTAACTGTTATAATAATATATTAGAACACAAAAGGTTTATTCTAATAAATTCTTAATAATTGGGTGATTAGGGGGGGTGAACCTTTCTCAATAAATGGGGGGGTAATAAAATGGGAATTCAAAAAACAATTTAAAGCATCAAAAAGTTCAAAATGAATAAATGGGATGGTTTTAAGAAACTTGGGTGTAGAGGTTGGAAAATCCCTCTCCACCCCCCGCGCCCAAATTTTTAATAGGCATTAAGTGTAATGGCAATAAGTTTGTTGAAGTGTTTCTTAAGATTATCCATAGTATTTCTGCATAATTTCTTAAATTTTGTTTTATCATTTAGAATGGTTGTAAGTTTAGATTTAGTCATTTTTTTGATTGATATGATATTGGTGTTGTTTTTGTTGGTGAGTCTCATTGAAATGTTAATGTTTTGATGCAGACCATCTCTTGTATTAATGATTTTGATTATAGGGGATTTTGTTTTTGGCAATGATATTGCTATTGCATATCTTCAATTTTTAATGAGTCTGGTAAGTTTGGTGGATGTTCATGTTCACTTTTTTGGTTTGTAATATCTTAATTGTTTTGTTATCTTCTATGTGCCATGCTTTTTTAGGACATGGGTGACCATGTACATCCACAACTTCATATTTTTTGTAGCTCATTGTAAAGTTTATCTTTTCACACTCTCTCTTTCAATCCCTGTTCTGCCATCCATTTATACAAGCTTGCCATGCAGCTTCCTTGCTTTTACCCCTGTCCATCTTGCCTTCATTATGTCAAATTTTCTAAGCCCTCTTTCCTCATTATGTGCCCTAGAAATTTCAACTGTCTCTGCTTCTAAGTATAAGTGCCCTTTTTGTTTCCATTTTCCTTACAACTTATTACTCACATGTTCAGTCCCTGGTATTCTCAGCATCCTTCTGTAGAATATATTTATGGGTATCACATGTAACTCCAAAAGAAAATAATTACATAATTAAGTTGTTGACATTCCACACCTATTTCAAGCAAAAGGTTAGGAAGGAAACCTCCCCATCAATCATGTTAAGAGCAATAGCACTTACTGAACTGGAGAAATCTATTTTCCTGAAAAATTATTTTAAGAGAAAGATTTTATGAATTCAACCAACAATAGTACTGGCTGCTCAGTTAATGAATGCCAAATGTTTCCTTATAAGGAGACAGCCAATATTAGTATTAGGCTCTTCTTCATCTGTGAGTAGATTGTTTAACCTTTGCTGCCATAACATTACAGTTTTGTTTAACCTTTGCTGACATTACATTACAGTTTTGTATTCTTTCTCTTAGTTTCTAACAAGATTTTCTGCTTAATAGTTAAATTTCTTCCTTATATTGAGATCATGTTTTGTAGCCATGCAACATTTACAGTATTAGCTTCATCTTCGTAAGAGTCAGGAATCAGGGGGGAAATCTTAATTCAAAGTTATTTTTATGTAAGACTGCTGCTTAAATACACTGTTATATAATGGATTGCTACTTATTTATAAGTAGACCTGGCTGTTAGGGTGGCTAGCTAATCCCAGTTGAAGATGTCCACTTGTGTTTGTTGAACACCCACAGGTTGGCTCTATACGGTAATTATGCTGAGCAGACCTTAGTTACAGTCTCTGGGAGAAACCTGGAGTGATCAACAGTTTTAAGCAAGGCCAGTATGCTCAAATCTTTAATTGTGTCTTCCCAATTTAACTTACAAGGTTTGGACTGACTGATGGCATAATTTTCAGGCACCTTGTAACTATGCCATGCACTTTCCAATATTATCAAGAAGACACCTTGACAAATTAGCCATGAGGAGATTTGAAACCAGGTCTCATGGCCGTAACACTTGTTAACACTCAGCTATGCACCCATATATTATATATATATATATATATATATAAAGAACAGTAAGATATATAATCCAGTGTTCTTATTGACATTTTTTATTTTTACAAAACAGTGCTCAATGTAAATTTATAGAGCATAAATATTATAAATTAACTGATTTAAAATATGGTTTTTTCACTACACAGTAATAACCATAATTTAATTATATAGTTAAATTAAAAGCATTAGTTCCATTTCATCTTCAAGCGAATATTGAAATAACTTATTTTTAAATTTACTGAGTTTTAAACGCACATATAAATTCATAATTCACTGTTTCCAAGGATACAGAGAAATCCAATCAATCAGACAGGGGCGGTAGAGTGTTCATTTTTATTAACTATTGTTGTATCAATTATGAGTTACATTTGAAAAAGAGGTTAAGTTTAGGGAGGGCAGGGGTGTATTTTTCAATGAATTCTGACATCCGTTAAATGCATGTCGTCTGGGTTTTTTTAATTTAAAAATGCCTGGATAAAATAATAAAAGACAACAGATAAAATTTTAGTGAAATCCAACAAAACAGGAAACTTCTATAAATTAACAACAAGGAACTACAACGATCTAGTAAATAAGGATTTACATAAGAACTATAAAAAGTCAAATAATAATGACCTCAACATGGTGGAGAATATTAATACTAGTAGTAAAAAAATCACAGACAAACTGAAGGTTAGTGATAGAGTAGGTTAACTATATGAAAGAGAGTGCTGTATAACCTTAAAAGACTACAAACCAGATTTTGAGGCTAATCCGACTACAAGGATAATAAACCATACAAGATCTAATATCGAAAAAATTAGTAAAATGATCCTTGAAAGGGTAAATCAGCAAATTAAAGAAAAATATGTCTGAAACTTTGGATTAATACCAAAGACATGACAAACGGGTTTGCTTATATAAAGGAGAAAACAAACTGTACACTAATGCGGTTTGATATTGAAAATTATTATCAATCAATATCTAAAGAACTGTTCATGAATGTGTTAGACTTTGCTACCCAGTACATGGATATTACTGAAGAAGAAAAGAGCATTATTATAAATGCAAAAAAATTGGTACTGATACATAAAGGTGAGCAATGGATAAAAAATTCATATGACCACTTTGACATCACAATAGGATCACTACACTCAGCTGAGTCTTCTGATCTTATAGGTCTTTTTATATTATACAATCTTACAGCGCACCGTGAAATTAGTATAACTGACATTGGTTTATACAGAGACGATGGACTTATGGTTATAAGGAACTCTACTAACTTTAAAATTGATAAAATTAGAATGATATTATATAAAGAATTTAAAAGCCTGAACTTAAAAATTACGGTAAGCACTAAATTAAAAAAAGTTAACTTCCTTGATATAACATTAGATTTAATAAAAAATGTATACATACCTTATAAAAACCCAATACCAATCCTATATATATACACCCTAAATCAAATCATCCTTCATCTATAATTAAGCATATACCTTTATCTATCGGAAAAAGAATAAGTACAAATTCAGCAAATGACAAGATTTTCAATGAGCATATTTATTCCTATAACAAAGCTCTAAAAGAGAGTGGCTACAAAAACTCAAAACTAACTTATATTAAAAATGAAAATGGAAAGCATAGAACAAACAGAAGTAGAAAAATAATTTGGTATACACCCCCATACGACCAAATGGTAAAGAACAAATTAGGACAAAAATTTAATAGTTAAACACTTTCCTAGAGTAAGTAAACTAAGTACTATTTTCAATAAAAAAATACACTAAAATTAAGTTACAGCTGTACTGAAAACTTGGAAAAAATTATTAAGAAACATAATGCTAATATCTTCAATAAACACTTAGACCAAAACCAAAGAAATTTAGACAATATAAAAATAAAAACAGATGTAGATAAACAAAAATTATGTAACTGTAGAAATCCTCATAACTGTCCTCGACAAAATAAATGTTGCACGGAATCATTAGTATATAATATCTCATCAATTGAGAATCCTGAAGACATAAAAGTCTATATAGGTTGCATAAGCCATGAGTTCAAAAAGCGATTCAATCAACATCAGACTTCATTTAGGTTAAAAGTTCAGAAATCAGACATTGCTTTCAAAATATGTCTGGCACTTAAAAGAATCCAATAAAACACCTACAGTAAAATGGAAATTAATAAGAAAAGCTAGAATATGTAGGTCATTAAATGACCCATATCCTTTGTGCATACATGAGAAACTATATATTACTAAGTTCATAAAAAATAAAAAGTTACTGAATCAGAGAAATGAAATAGCAATTTTTGACCGTCATTGTCAAAAATTTTCCTTAAATAATATTTAAAAAATGGGAGCTGGTAATATACATACTTATATTTGATATGAAAAAATAAATTTAAATAATGTAAGTAATTCTATTACATTTACTTGTTTTAAAAAGAAATATAGTCTATTAGTAATTAAGAGTAAAAATATTTTAAAATTGTAGTTAAATAAAATGTATTCTAACCATATAAACACCCCTAGAAAGAATCTTTAAGTATATACAAGTAAGAAAAAAAAATGCTGAAAATCTTTTTGCTGTTAATAATAATAAAAAATCCAGATGACATGCATTTAATACACACGCACACCTTTTGATGTGTAAAAAAATGAAAAAGTGAAATGGTTTCTTTGACAATTGCTTTTAACAGAGAGATGATTTCCCTCTTTTTGATGCCAACTGGACAGCAGCTGAAGAACTTAAACTTATTTCCCTCATTGTAGAGTTTGGCTATGGAAATTGGTAAGATTTTCTTTCTTTCCTATTTTTTCCTTACTTTTTTTCAACTTTTTGTATTCATTGTTCTGTTGTTTAATTAGCTATACATAATATATGATACCAATTTAGATAAAGACTTGATTTGTTTGTCTTCCCATTCTCCCAATTATTCAGACAAGTATCTTCATACACTACAACATGCTGAAGGAAGACCAAATGATATATCAACTGATATTACCAAAAATTAAAGTGATAAAAATATTTTGATAAAAGACAAGATTACTAATTTCAATGCTTTATGTCAGAATGTAATGATAAAACCTACAATGAAGATGATATTGATAGGTGGTCTATTTCAAAATTTGGGACAAATTTCACTTAATTCCATGTTAAACTGTCAAAAGTTAATACAAAATACACTATTGACAAGAGAAAATAGGCAGCAATTGGGGTTTAATTGAAATAATGATTGTAAAAGCATTTTGATTGTAGTATTTTATATAAAAAAAAAGTCAGTGTCTGTTTTTAATGCACAAACTTACCATGTTGCTCTTTCAACATCTCTAAAAATGTAAACTTGTTCTATTTAGGATATATATACCCCAAAATATGTCCAAATAAAATGTAACCTTTTTTTGTTGTTGTTTACTTCAATTCAGTACTAAAAATATTACAAATTGTAGCACATTCTAGACATTTTATAAAAATCTTAAAACATATTACAATAATTTAAACATTTTCTTTAAACATTTAGTTTTGATTTTAATTGAAAGAAAATAGCCTAAAGTTAGCCATAAAATATATTCCACGCTTAAAGCAGCCTTATAGACATTTTTTTAATATCAGTCTTTATCATCCAAACTTAAGCCATGATTGATGTCTTCCAGCAGAAAATCTTTCAAAAATAAAGTACGTCTTTTGTTACTTTTCTTTCTTTAAAGATTTTAAAACTTTGAATTCAACAAAAATTAATCAATATTGATGTGACAGGATTCTGAAAGATCTATTTGTTTACAGTGGATTTGTGTTACTTGTCAACCCAGTTCAAAGGTCAAGTGATTGTTCTTTGCATACCCACATGAAAGCCCATTAAAATTTACAAGTATTTCTTGGGAGTGAGGCAGTTGAAATGTAGATAACTGAAAATGACATTAAAATACTCTCATGTGACAGGCAACATTGTAGTGAATATTTTGTTTTACTTATGTTCTGAGATTAAATCTTATTCTATGAATTATTTAAACTAGCATTCTCATCTTTATTGTTTTTATTATAACATTTAAGCATTGTCTAGCCTCCAGCAGGTGTCTTTTGTGTCTAGTAATCCTTGAATAGAATGACTTGTTTACAATTTTAAAAATATTTCACTCCTTTTAAATGAAAACAATTCACAATGTTATAAAAGTCTGTTATTTTCATTGATAATATTCATATTTTACCATTTTCAGGTCAGATATTTCCCAGCAGATGAAGACAAAAAGTAAACAAGAATGTGAACGTCATTATATCAAATATTTCATTGAAAAACCCAATGAATTACTCCCAAGTAAGTAAACATTTGAAAAAATTTTTCCTCTTTGTATTTGTAGACAAATGTGTTCTTATTGATTTATTAATTATAGCGTTCTCATCTTGGTGGTTGTTGTTATAGTGACTTTAACTACTTCTCTTTATCTGTGGGTACCTTGGAGAAAGTGAGGTCATCAATACCCATGGAATTAATAATTAATAGTCATCCCTGTTTTATAGATATATTTCAAAAGAATATCCCTCTCCTTTGTATAGTCATTTTCTTTTTCTTTATTTATGATAGATTTTGTTATTTTCAAAATAAAACAAAATTTCCATTATTTTATCTAAACTTAATATTGTCTAGAGCAGGGGGGGAATTCAGAGTTTCAGTGGGTGAGGGGAAAAATCTTTTACTTTTTCTTGTTTTTTATTTACAGAATTTGGTGTTTATTGTGAACGTCAATAATCTATGTACATGTAATAATAAAGAAAAGAATTAAGATTTTCAGTAATATATGCATATTAATCTGGAATGAATCTTTTGAGTCAAACAAACTTGGAAAGGAGAGGGAATGACATGGCGAAAAGTTGCACAAGGCAAAAAAAGGTTGAAAACCACCGGTATAGAAGATACTAAACTTCTATTGTTCACATTCACATTGCAAATTTTTAGTCCAAATGGTTTATTTTGATCTGTAGTCTTTTTTATGTTTAGAATATTTATTTTCCATTTCAGAATTTCCAGATCATTCTTTGTCTTTTCATCCACTTCCTGTTGTCTTCAAATGTAAGTTACCTTCAAATGAGTTTCTTCAAAATTTCTCTTGAAATTTTCTTAGTATCTATACTAATACACACATGGCTGTCTTGAGATATCAACACAGAAAATGGGAAACCTGTATTTGATTAACTGGGTTCTATTCATGGATTCACTTGGCCTGTCTGGGTGTGGTGGTAGGTAAGTGACACTTGGAATATCTTCACAAACTACTTCTCTCATGATAGACTAGATCTTTCCTTCAGCCAACAAGAACATGACTTCCCATCTGTCCATCTCTTGCTATGACTCTACAAACAGCTGGCTTCTGACTCCCCCATGCTAGAAGGTGGCCTAAATAAATATGCGCCCAGTTGAATGTCACTTGATCCCAAAAATGCTAATTTTTAATTTTATTTCCTTTTGCTGTTCTTGTGGATAGCATGTGGTTACTTTGAAGATTGCACATCTTGATTTTACTGTTGGTTGTCATAAAAAAAGAAATACTGGCTTCAGACTCAGACAAAATCATTTGCATCCCATTTAGCTACATATCAAGCAGGGACCTATTGTGTTAATGATTCAATAAAAAGCTAACATTGTCATGGAATATAAACATAAGTAATTGTATGTGATTATATATTTTTGGTAAAGATTGGATTAATACATATGCAGAATTGAGTGTGATGTTGTCCTCTATTTTATATATATAATGTGTATGGAGAGAGAGAGAAAAAGAGAGGCTGATGCCCTACTGAATTTCCTCATGACACTTAGTTTGCTTATCTGAGTTCTGCTGCTGATGTTGTTTTGTCTGTTTTACTTTTATGTTTAAAAAAAATCTAACAGATACAGAATATGTGATGCTTCAGTTTATGCTTTAATCCAGAACTTATCTTTTATTCAATGGTGAAATCAAATTTTGCTTATCTTTTTTTAACAAATCAATTTAATACTTTCTGATGAAATAACAAGCAGCACTCATTATGCTTACAAGTATGGCTGACAACAAATATGTACACACTTAATAAGATGCAGCACCAATGTGAATAAAGAAACATGCTTAATGGATCTAATACATATAATATATGATTTTATAAATATTAGTTGATAAAAATGTTAGTTTGGTAGAAAAGCATTATTTCCTTTTTATTCAATTGTGAAAATATGGTTAAAAATGGGTAAAATGAAAAACCTTTTGAAGATGATGTTTTAAAATTTTCCTTTGAAATTTATTTTTTAATATAGTATTTTTGCTAGATGATAGTTTTTATCATAGCCTCCAACAAAATAGGATGGTTAATATGGCTTTTCATTAGTTCAGTTTTGTTTTTACTATATATTTAGTGGGTACACATGTTTGACATTCCTGTTTTTTTTTTTTTTTTTTTTTTTTTTTTTGTTAAGCATTGGAGAAATTGACACGGTTGTTGTTATAGCAGGGTCAGTTAATTGGTTTGTTTGTTTTTCCATCCTTCCATTGCAATGTTTTATCTCAATATGGTCAAAAGTGGAAGACATTTAGAGTATGTATGTATTTTTCACCAATCTTGTCTGTCAGTTCTGGAAGGAGGGAATGCATCCAAAGAGATGCTAGGTGCAACACATGCACATTTGAATGGGTTCCAGGTGTAATATAGATCCTCAAAGAATACAAGATAACATTTCAATAGAAACAGAATGAGTAAAATCAAAATGAGGGCTATGATGAAGATGACACAATGGTTTGAGGAGGATATTATCTTTACTCTAACAGTGATCTATAAAGATGTTTAGTATTTTACTATTTTAAATGTCCATATGATGATGACTATATAAGAAAAATGTGTCAGAGGTTGGATTAAGAATAAATCAACATGTACCTGCAAATAATTTTGAAAGGAAATTGCGATAATTTACATATGCGCGTCAGTGATGACTGAGAATTTGTTGCAAAACCATCAGTGTGCTCAGTCTTATATCCACTTGGTACTCATTCAGAATTACACCTGAAGTTTCTTTTTTTTTTTTTTTTTATCTTTCCAGTCATCCCTCTATAAAAAGGAAAGTCTTTTAGACCTAAATGTTACCAGCCTTTGATGATCATATATTTAATATACCAAAGATAAGATTTTATATATTTAACTAGCAGCCATACCCAGCTGATTGATCAGAAAAAGTGTTCAATTAGAATGGAGCAAAAACAGCATCATGTTTAGATATAACAGAGTCTATCTTCAATTACTTTAAAGTACTTTTATTAAAAACATTTTGAATTAATGCAGTCACTGATAAAACAGAAGTAGTCTGTATTTATTAAAAGTTATCCAAGGATATGAAGACCACAATTAGTTTTTGAAATTTAATTTGTCAGTATGCTACCAAGGATGTAAAAAAAGATACATTTATAAAGCAATTGTTAAGTTTGATGAAAATTGGTTGAATGATCATGTTATTTATGTGTGTTTTCACTATATGGGTGGACTCAGTTATCAAGTTTAATGACTGTTAAACAATCAACTTACAATTGAGTGAAGTTTGTATTAGAGTGCTTGAAAGTTGAAGGAGTTTTTAGTTTAAAATTTGTGTTGAAAACGATTTTATGTTGTTCATGGTTTTTCACAGTGTGTAGAAATAAAAATGAGGTATCGTTGAGCTTGTCATGGTGTAAGTAACCATTGAGTTTGAACGAAATCTGAGGAAAAAAGTTGAATTTATTGATTTTTGATCAGCTTTATTGATTTTTAAAAAATTATCAATTTTTTTTTTATTCTAAGAACCTATCTCTTACATTGTTGTACCAAGTTTATCGGTTGGATGGATCTCGAGTGAAAAGGTATCACACAGACAGACAGGCATCCTCTGTTTTATGTAGATATATATATATATATGTAAAATCCTGTCTTTGGTATTTCCTTTTTTATTTGCTGTTCACATATTTCAGCCCTTGTTAGAGCTCTGCTGAGAGAGGAATAGAAACTATTTCAATTTTTTTTGTCTTTCAATTTCATGATAACTATAGATTTTTTTATTATTTGTGTTGTGTATGCCTGTTTTTATTGCAATTTTTGCAATCTTAGCAAAGATACTCTATATTAAGAAGTTCAAATATGTTATTTTTAACTCAAAAACTTGAAAATATTTCTATTTTCTATGTCTCAACTTCAGAAATTGGGAGGTGACAGATTTATTAGTCAAACACACAAGGAAATGAACAGCTTTAAGAACAAGTGCAATGACAGATAAATCAATTTGTAAAAAAAACTGGATGATAAAAGGCAGAACTTCGATAACAAGCATTGGAACAATAATTATAAGTTTGCATTTAAATTAAAGGAATCAGTTAATAAAAAAATCAGGACTAAAAATTAGCCAACTGAAAAAATAAATAAATGAAACTGATCAAAGGTCGAAATAAATTTGAACATATTAATTTTAGATTTTTCAATAAGTTTTAGAGTTGGAATAAAACAAAGGAACAGTCTGAATTTTCAAGCAATCAAAATAAAATGCATTTTATATTATTTCTGCAGACATTTATTAACACATGGTAATAAATATCAATGATGAAGTTTCACACTGTGTAACAAAGTGAGAATAAGAAAAATGAATAATTCATTTGGAAAAACAGATTAGAGAATGTTTAGAAAATGTTTAGACTGTCAAGTTCTTGTTTTGCTAATGGAAAACAATTCACCTATTCAAGCATAAAGTATCTGAGAATAAAATGTATTCTTTTAGTTGTGCCACTAGTAGTTTCCAAAATTTTCCTCTTATTTTGAGAAAAAGAAATTTTCTTGCAGTGATTCAATTCTTTTCTTCTTTGATAGTGTCTGAAGATCCTCCACGGCCTCAGGAAGGCAGTCCTTTGTTTTTGGAAATGGGTGGTTATATGGCTGCTCGAGGGGATTTTAATGTGGAACACAATAACTTTGTTGAACTTGAACTCAAAGACATGGTATTTGATGAAGAGAAAGAAGACAGTGAAGATGAAGATGATGAACATTTCATGAGAGGTACAGTGTTTCTTATGGTTCAGACCTCAGCCACGTTTACTTCATATCTTTTACTTTGTTTGCTGCTGAGTATTTTTTAACATTGTAACTCTTGTCAGATATTTTTCATAAAAATGTGATGAAATTAGTCTTCATTGTGAGTTTAAAACAGTTTTATTTTAATATAAATTAATTCATTTTCACATTACATCTAATAAATGTTATATATACATGTTTTAGAAATATTTTAATTGAAATAAGTTTGAAATTTCTTAAAACACAGATCTACATATAAAACCCAAGGTTGTACAAACATTTAGTCACAATCTCACTAAAATAAATATGCAACTTAAAATAATATGCAAAGGAGATGCTGCCATCTTGTGAAAGGCTAACATCTATTATTGTAAGATGACTTATCCATTCCATAGCAGCAAATATGTTAATGATCACTTTTTTCAGAAAAAGGGAATTATTCAGAAGTTTCAGCATGATAAAAATCTCCTACATAATATGCTTTCCTCACTCCATTAATCCTACTGAACAGCACAATTAACAGAGAGATAAACAATAGAAAAGAAGACACAAGTCTATGTAATAAATCTGTATAAAGACATTATAATAAATGCATGCACAGTAATATTATGACTGCCTATGCAAGATTGTAATAAATTAGATAATGTGTACACAAGATAATAATTGCATATACAAGGTAATGTAATAAATTTCCAAAATGAAACTGCTCTCTTTTAAACATCTCAGACAACCTTTATTGCTTCCCATCAGCAACTGTCCTGGGTATGACGATAAACTGCATCCAGCAACAAGGCTCTGATCAGGAGGTTTTGAGGAATGTGGAACCACCTCTTAGTTGCTGTTGTTCCTGGGTTCACCCTGACCCGGTGTGGTAGCACCCGTTAGGTCCCAGCTATGGGTAAATAGTTCCCCCACTCCCTTGATCTGGAATCAGAATACTAGGAAAGTGTAAGAATGGATTTTTTGTAATAATAATACCATCAACACAAATTGCAGTATATAAAGTGCACATTCACAAAACCCAATTTCAAAAAATAAAAAATTCCCCTAAATGAGGCCACCGTTTGCCGTGGGTGGTGAGTCTTGGTGACTGAGTGACTCCTGATCTGGTGTAAAATGACCAGGTGTTTCCACAACACATTACTTCCTGGGATAGATGGGCAGATGGAATAGTCCAATCCATTCCAATCGGCCAGTCACATTGTGGCAAGGGCTAGTTGTGTCTGACAGTGCCACGAAACCTTACATCATACTATGCTTGGGTAGATATGGTGGGGGAGTGCAGGTGCTCGTATCCACTCTCATCACAACTATACTGTGTAGCCCTGGCAGATTAGGGTGAATGGGATTAGTTCCCCCCCTGATAGCGTCCCTTAAGAAGGAACTCCGAGGTGGGTGGGGAGCACAGACAGCGAATACAAAAGTTAAAATTATATGGCTACTTCTTATAAGTGAACCAAGAGACAATATGAGACTTCTGAAAATGAAAATGAAATAGAAAAAAATCAATTTCCAACTTTCATTGTTGTAGAATCAGTAGAGGGTGATATATCAAAAGTGTCTCCTTTCGTGTTGCAAAGGGTTATTTCAGACATGATCAAACCACAATCTGTTAAAAAAATAAAGAAGAATAATACTCTATTAATTCAAGTGATATCCAAAAAGATGCAGAGAAATTGCTAAAAATCAAGCAAATTGAGAACAATAAAGTTAAGGCCTACCCCCATCAATTTCTTAATTCATCAAAAGGAGTAATAAAATGCCCAGAACTGTCACTTCATCAGAAGAAATAGAAAATGATGACACCCTAAAAAAGCAAGGAGTAACGGAGGTAAAAAGAATACAAGTAAAAAGAAATGATACAGTAATAAACACCAACACACATTTTGACATTCGACAAACTAACTCTGCCAAAAGAAATAAAGATAGGTTACACAATAGCCAAGGTAGAGCCATACATTCCTAATCCCCTGTAGATGTCATAAATGTCATAAATTTGGTTATCTTCAAAATGTTTGTATGAGAACATCTGTCTGTCGAAGATGTGGGGAACCAGAAACTGAGCATGATGAATCACTTTGTGAAAGGCCTCCTTTATGATCAAACTGTAAAGAAAAACATCCAACAGACTCCAAAGAGTGTAACATTTGGAAAAAGGAAAAGGAAATAATTAGAAGAAAATATATGCAAAATATCTCATTCCAAGAAGCCAGGAAATAGGTTGAATGTAATTTGCATCATATGCAAATATCACTAAAATATCAAATCAACAAAAAGTCATCCAAGAAAACAATGCATTAAGAAGCCAAGATCTTATAACTCTTATTAACAAATTAAAAAGTTTAATCGAAGTACTAAAATGTAGTATATCACTCATAAATCAAACTCCCATAGAAAAAAAAAATCCTGTCCTGTCAACCGCAAACAAAAAAGTCTCTACATATACAAAACAATTAAATCCGAAAATTCCAAACCAAAGTACAAATATCAAAGAAATAGAAACCTCTGAATATTCTCAAGAGAATCAAAAGGTACATAAAAAAAATAACTCAACTTTTAGTGAAGAATCAAGAAAAATGGACATAGAGGAACAAAACTTTAGCCCATCACAAACAAGGGAAGAGTCATCATCTATACAAAGATCATTAAAAGAACCTAATGGAAAAACAAACCCTATACCGTGAACTGCAAACAAAAATGACTCTAGATCTAAAAAACTATTAAACCCGAAATATCGAAACATTCTCAAGGGAATAAAAAGATACAAAAAAAAAAAAATAACAAAACGGTTATTGAAGAACCAAGGAAAATGGACATAGAGGAACAAATCTTTAACCGATCATAAACAAGGGAAAGATCATCATCTAGACAAAATTCATTAAGAGAACTGAAAGGTAAAACTGAGAGAGGGTCATTCCATGTCAAAACACCAGCAGCAAAAAGTTGAAATCTGCACCCACCGACACCGAATTACTTGAAATTTGGCACAAATGTTCCCCTTCATGAGTTAGGAAAGTGTACCGAATTATTTTGTGCTAGACTTTACTGTTCCAATTTTAAGAGGGGGGGGGTATAATTTTCCTATTTTGCCTCTAAATTAAGGCCACACAACATCGCCAAATCTCAGTGTTTTTTTTTTTTAAATTAAAGAAAAATACTTCCATACCTTCAATATTTCTGAAATTTGGTATTTAGGGCAAGTAAGTAGTGTAGAATCCAAATATTTAACTATTTCAAGCCTACACTTAATAGAAAATTTTATTTTACTCACACAAATACACGACCCCAAAATCAACAACTTTTCATCTATTGTAGCTTACGATCAGTCTATCAAAAATACGTTCTCTTCAATTTTCATAATATTTTTTTGCCTAACATCTACAATGCCTTCTCAAGTTCACCAAAAAGTTTTGTGAGGGTTTTAAGTCTACTTTAGAAGATATGAACCTGCCAAGTTTAGAGTTTTTTCCTATATATGTGCAGGATTTCTGAGAAAGATTATAATTAAAGACACTCCTCCTAATGCTCCATGACCTCTAAAATGTTGATATTGTGCTAAGTAACTTCTTAAACTATTCAATAAGATTGTTTTTATTAATTAAAAAAAAATAATTTAAATATATTTTGGAGATATTAATTTTTTTACAGATGAATTGTCTTTAAAAGCGGTAAACATTGCCTCATGTATGATAATCAACAGTGCATAGAAAATTTAAACTACACTATTCCTTCAACTATATAAATATGTTTAGTGCCAACTTCAAATATTATGTTTTAAATATTCACATTTATCTTATGGAGAATGAAAAAAAAACAAATGTTTTGTTTCATGAAAATAATTTACCAAAATAAAATTAAAAGAAACACAAACAGAAAGAATTTCTTTTAATTTCATTTGTTAAGTGCCATCTACAAATTTTCTATGAAGGATAGAAGGATTTAATCACACAAAAAATAATTGCTGGTATAAAAACAAGGTATGTTTTGAATGTGACCATAAGGGACATAAAGAGTCCCAATGCTATAAAAGAAAGAAAAAGACAAGTGAAAAAGTGAATGTGATTCCCTCAAAAAAGGAATTGGGGAATGTCGAGAAATGAGAAATGTGTAGTGATCTCACTACACATTTCTCATTTTAGTATTAGTATAATTTGCATATGAGCAGGTAGCTCATATGATAAATGGACACCAACTAGAACAGAGGTCGAATGCTTACTTAGCAATATACACGACACAACAATGGCATCGCCGATAGGATACTCTTTGCTCCTTGAAGACCCAGAGTACGCAGATACGTGGATTCGTTGCTTTGCTGCTAATGCAGGATGTAAAAAGTTGAAAGACAACAAAAACAGAGGAGGGGAAAATGAAATCACCGTTGTTTATGGCTACCGCTGGTTGTGAAGCGATTATGAAGGTTGCTACAATGGTTTACCCTCGAGAACTAGAAGAAATGACTTTCAAAGAAATAAGTCAGGTTATTAAGGGAAACATGAGGCCAAAGAAAAGACTGGTGATTGCAGAAAGGACCAAGTTTATGGCAATGAAGCAGGAAGTGGATGAACCGATAGTAAAATGTTTACACCGGTTAAGAAGTGCGAGTAAATACTGTGAATTCGAAAAACTAGGAACAGGAGAGCAGACAACGGAAGAAGAATTAATCCAACTAAGATTAATTGAAGGTATGCATAATTCAGCACATAGATATAAGTTAATGGAACAGTTACAACTTACAAACATGCCTTTGAATATGTGTATAGAATTTATACAACAGCAGGAATTAATACATACCTACAACCAAAATAAAAATAAATCCTATGAAGAAATAATGGCTGAAACATATATGGTACAAACAAAAAGAAAAAATTGTGCATACTGTGGAAAAATTCATGAAATGAAAAAAGAAAAATGCCCAGCCTTTTGGAAAGACGTGTTCAAAGTGTTTAAAAAAAAATCACTTCAAAGAAGTATGTAAAACGAAAAATGTGGAAAGAGTAGAGGATGAAAATAGACAGATTTTTAATGTAAAAAAGGATAAATACAAAAAAGTGTGTAACCAACAGTAATGAAATATCATTTTTGGGTTACTCAATATCAAAGGAAGGGATCTCTCCAGATAAAGTATTAATAGAGAAAATTCTAAAAGTTGCTACACCGAAAAATAAGGTTTGGTAAATTTTTATAGAAAATATGTACCAAAATATAATGAGTTGACAGAACCATTTGCTAAGTTAAGAAAAAAAAAATGTGGAATTCATTTGGTTAGAACACCAACAGAAAGCCTTTGAAAACTTAAAACAGATTCTGACAAAAAAGCCAATAGTACAAATTTTTGACCCTAAGAAGGACATAACTCTAACTACTGATGCTAGTGAGCAGTCCATATCTGGTATTTTGTCACAAGATGGGCATCCCATAATGTACTTATCGAGGAGATTAACAACAACTGAACACAATTATTCGAATATAGAAAGGGAGGCACTAGCCATAGTGTGGACAACGGATAGAGCAAGACAGTTTTGATGGGAAAAAAATTCTTGTTGAAAAGGGATCACAGACCACTGGAATTTATTTTCAACCCAAGAAAAGAGCTACCGAAAGTTACAACGTCCAGAATATTGTGTTGGGCGATTAGACTGATGGTGTTTGACTTTGACATTGAATATGTTAAAGGGAATACGATACCGCACGTTGATGCCTTATCTAGATTAAGGTTTTATAGAGAGAAGGACAAAAACGACGAGGAATTTGAAGACACATTCTTTGCGCCATCACTTTTTCAACAAATCATGGATACAATGCTTGCAGGGTTAGAATTTGCCATTGCTTATCTGGATGATATCTTAGTGAAAAGTAAAAATATGGATGAGCATAAAAAACATAAGGGCTATCTTCAAGAAAATAGAAGAATTCAGATTCAAAGTGAACCCCAAAAAATGTGAGTTTTTTATGGAAAAAATTAAGTATCTCGGGCAGATTGTGGATAAAGATGGCAGAAAACCAGATCCACAGTGAACTGAAGCCATAAGAAATATGCCTGCCCCAGACAACATGGCAAAATTTGCTATCATTTTTAGGTTTGGCACAATATTATGCAATATACATTCCAAAGATGTATGAATTAACAGCACCATTAAACAAATTGTTGAAAAAGAGGGTTAGATGGTGTTGGTCCAAAGACTGTGAAAAAGCTTTTTGACAAATTAAAAACTGTTTACTGACTGATTTAGCATTGGTGCACTATGATCCAGAAAAAGAAATAGTTGTTGCTTCTGATGCTAGTGAATATGGAATTAGAGCAGTGCTACTTCATAAATACAAAGATGGTTCAACAAAACCAATTGCACACGCTTCAAGGACTCTTTTGTCAGCAGAAAAGAATTACAGTCAGATTGAAAAGGAAAGCTTAGCAATCATTTTCACAGTTAAAAATTCCATTGTTTCCTTCACACTACAAACTGACCATAAGCCGTTACTTACCATTTTTGGATCAAAGAAGGGCATTCCAACTCATACTGCAAACCAATTACAGCAGTGGGCTGTAACATTGTTGAATTACCATTTTAAAATGGAGTACATCTCATCTAAAAATTTGGGTCATGCAGATGGACTATCAAGGTTAATGAAGTTTTTGAAGAAATTGTAATTGCGGCTTTAAAGGATGAACAAGAAATATCACATTTGCTGTGTAATACTGTTAGGGAACTACTGGTGATGATGGGAGACATAAGGAAAACAGCAGAAAATGATAATTTTATTAAAAATATGAAAATACAAGCCAGGATAAAGGAAAGAAGTAAAAAGGGAATTAAAATTTCTCCTTATTCCATCTGCAAAGATATGCTAATGTACGCAGACAGGGTGGTGATGCCACAGGCATATCTTGTATGAAATTCTTATGAGAAGTTATGTCTTCTGGCCTCGAATGGATACAGATGTTGAAAATTTTGTGAAAAAATGCAGAGGTTGTCAGTTAGCTGCAAGAGCCCTGCCAGTTAAAACACAACCATGGCCAGAAACAGATGTCCCCTGCACATGTCTACACATTGATTATGCAGGACCACTTAATGGGTATTATTACCTGATCATTGTGGATAGTTTCTCAAAGTGACCAGAAGTGTTTAAATACAAACACCCAACTTCTAGAAATACTATCAATGCTTTAGATGAAGTTTGCAGCCACTTCAGAGTTCCTCGGACATTAGTCAGTGATAACGGAACTGCATTTACAAGTAAAGAGTTCAAATAATTCTGTGCTTCATTGTCACAACTCCGATTTACCACCCAAGGTTGAATGGACAAGCGGAAAAATTTGTTGACATGTTTAAACGAGTATTAAAGAAAAATCAAGGGGTAGACACAGAGGATAGAGCTATACAGAAATTCTTTGCAGTATACAGGGTAACACAACGCAAACAAGACAGCAAAATTGTCACCTGCGTAATTGATGTTTGCAAGAAAAATTAAGTTGATTTTCAACAGATTGCTGCCTTGTACAAAAAAGAAAAGTAATAATGAAACTTTCTGTACAAAGAAATAAATACCTGGGGATAAAGTTTTCTTTAGGAATTATTGAGGTGGAGAGTGTTTTTAGGAGGGTGGTGTTATTTTATACAGAATTGGACAAGTTATCTATATGGTAAAAGGGAAGAGATGGGTATGCAAAAGGCATATAAATCAATTAAGACCTAGATACTTGGAAACTGTGCAACAGGATGATGAAGAAATTCCTATGGATGTCCTGTATGACACGTTTAAAATAGCACCACCCACTAACATACCAAAACACATGGGTACATCGCCTACACCAGCTTTGCCTGTAGAAGCGAGATGTCATTCTCCTCGAAGAAGTAAAAGAAAAAGAAAACCAATAGCACAGTTAAGCCCAGACCCAAAAAAGAGGAGGTATTAAAAAGCTGAATTTTCTAAGGAAAAAATTCAGCTTGGGGGCAGGGGGTGATGGAATAACCTGTCACCCCCATGAGTGGTGGCACTATAGGTGGTAACCACTTATAAGTATCCGTGAGGGCAGCAGACAGGAGAGTCAAGCGGGGATCTGCAAGAACTACAGCCTTCCAATAGAAGCATGCACACAACTGTACTGACTTGCAATGACCATGCGCATAACTTCCTTGCTTGTTGTACTGATTTCTACAATAAACCTGTTACTATTTATCCATCGTATTTGTCTATTCCATATTCCTGTTATCATGGAATATAACATGTAGCAACACAGGAAATATATTCTTTAACCTATTTCTTCTTAAAAATAAAAAAAATTATACTATTTCCACATGAAAAAGGAGCTGTTAGAGAAAAAATCCTCTTGTTTCCAAAACACATAATGTAGTCCCTTAATTTAAAAATATTGTGGATGCACAACATTAGACTTATTGTGTGTACATATAGAATATTTTACTTATGGAAAAATTTGTCCAAAATCTTTTTCAAATAAAACTTTTGGTTGTCAACAAATAAGCATGTGGGTTCCAATCAATAGATGTATTGTATTGACATCTGGGTTATTGTTGTGACTGAAAGTTAGAGGAAGCAATAGTAATATTGAATTGTGACTATCACCCATAGTTGTGTGATCAATTCATGAATGAACAGAGAGAGAGAGAGATAATGAGAACAATTTAACTGAAATTCTCCTGAAAAACACTTGAATTGCAGCTAATAAAATTCAGAACATGTATGAGGGGGATTTGTTTTGATCTCTAGTCTGAATTTACCATTAAGCGACACTGACTAGGGTCAGTGACCAACTCATATAATATTGTGTACAATCAGCAATGGAAATTAATTTCAATTTTATTACATTTTTTCTTGTTTAACAGAATTAAAGTTAGCTGTTGTGAGTATTTATAAAGAAAGTCTAAAGGAACGATGTAGACGAAAAAAGTAAGTTACTTTCAGCCTTTTTTTCTTATTGAGTTTCAAAAACACTTTGTGTATGTATTTTACAAATATTTCTTAATGGATAGTTTATTTTCATATTTTGCAATTGTTTCATAATAATTGCATAACATAAAATTCCACTTGTTTTTTGAAGTTCTGAAATGAAGTATTTCCATTATTCTGTATATTTTTCAAGCTTTCATCTTTGATGTTTTTGGGTGATATAGTCATTGACCTTTCTGTACTTTTATTCAACTCCAGATTTTGTCAATTAACCATTGGCCACTGCATGTGTATGTGGTCCTTTTATCAAGCTCACTCTCTCCTTCCTTTCATTTATATTGACCTGTTATATGGTTTTTCCCATATATTCACACCCCAGGCAGAGCTGGATTGATTATGTTGATCATATCAGATCAGTTGCCACTGGCTGGCATCAGGGACCTCTGCCTACCTCTGTCAACCATGCAGTTGGCTTCCAAGAAGGATGTCAAGTGCAATGTCTATTCTAGCAACAGATGAGTAAAGTGAAAGAAAATATTGCAAGAAAAATGGCAATGATAATGATACTAGTCCAAATAAATGTGTAGAATAATTGGCTACTCTTTGTAAAACATGCAATAATAGCAGCATTTATATTTCTGAATGTATAAATGTCTCAATAAACAACTGCAAAATTCTTTGATATTGTTTTTACATTTTCCAGAATAATCCGAGATTATGGATTAATAAACATGAAAAAAATTCTTCGTAAGTATTTTTTTCTTAGGTCCATTCATAGCATTTTTATAAAATACAAGATATTGGTACTATCACATGATTTGAAATAAGTATGACTATATCAAGAGTACTATACTATAGAGTAAAATAATATTATAAAACTTAACATAAAAACATAAGATTGTTTGCATATTGATTGTTGCTTATGATCTTGGATTAGAACATCTATGAGATTTGCTTATGATCAAAGTATTATATTGCCCCTAACCTTCTGTCTAGGATCAATATAGTATCTGCGTAGTCTGTGAAAAGTGTTACACAAACACACACACACATATATATATATATATATATATATACCCTACACACACACACACAGAGAGGGTGTGATGGGTAAATTGTTGCCATTTTATATTATTTATTTCATGCATATGCGTTGTTTGTTCCTGATTTTGTCGACTGCACAGTATAGTAGGGTCAGTTGGGCACCATCTGTGAGAAAAAGAGCACCATGATGCAATTTACTCCACCAGATATTTGGAAATGGCATGCTGTACTGCTTAGCATTCATACCAAAAGCTCCAATACCAACATTTCAGCATGTTTAGGTGTTAGTGCAGAAGATTCAGAAAGAGTTGGATGATACATCCTGTCAATATGATCAGTGTTTAGAGTGATCACTAGTGATGGCAACGTTATGCTGCCATTCGTCTTCCCACAGGGCCTCACTTAACATAGAGACCTACATCATCAAGGAGGTAGTGATGAGGTCAAGAAGGTGGCTGTTGGAAGACCCTGTGTCTGGCAACAGGACTCTGCACCATGCCACACAAGCAAGAAAACTCAGTCATGGCTGTCAGACAATTTATGTGACCACATCACTCCTTACATCTGGCCATCTAACTCTCCAGCCTGCAACCCCCTTGTTTATTATGTGTGGGGCACAGTTGAGTGAGAGACCAACAAAACTCTTTGTAACACCAAAGATGAACTGAAGGCTGGGATTATGGCAGCATTCACCAACTGTGCAGAAGAGTTGCAGGAGATTCCAAGGTCATCTGAAGGTTGTGGCTGAAGTCAATGGCGATTTTTATTGAATAAATTTACTTTTTAGTATTTCAAGATATTTGTGTGTAATTTTGGTAAATATCTGTTAAAATGAGATGTTAGTGTTATTTTCATTTTTTTTTGTAATTTAAACAATTTATCCATTGTAAGCTGTATATATATTACTTCAATCATTACTTTTAGTGGATAGCCATATTTGTGTAGACATTCCATTTTTTTTTTATAGTGTTTATTATATCTACTTAAGGAAATTGTGCCTTTCAGCCTACATAGCTCTACATGCAGCCTTTCAAGCCTACATAGCTCTTTGCAAGAGAAAGCATTGTCTGATCTGTGATGCTTTGACTGCTTGGCTATGGAGAGTTTCACAGTCAAGCAAGATTCTATTTGATTTACTGCACATTCACTTGTTCAGATTTTCCTATATAATTTCCATTATTAAGTTTTCTTGGGTGCATAGACTGGTAGAGGAAATAAAAAAACTAAAAAATAGTGTCTCCTCAAGTATGGGAATTGACTGATTTTTTATTTATATATGTATATAGACAGACAATAGGAAAACTATACTTAGTTATAGTTTTCATATTGTCTTTTTATTCATTTTATCTCTTCTACAGATATACTCCATCTGAGAATATATATATATATATATATATAGAGAGAGAGAGAGAGAGAGAGAGACAAGGAAACTAATGTTGAAATCTGTACATGGTATATCACATATTCCACCATCTGTGAAATTACTGTTGATGGTGAAGAACTTAAATATTCAAAATCATCTAAGTACCTTGGAAACAAAATCAACAATTTAGCCTCACTTGACAAAGCACAAGGGGTGCTGTTCCTTGTCTTGTATGTGCAATGTTGTGTGGGACCCAAGCTGACCTTAAAAGTCATCAAAAGTACAAAAACAAGTAGTGGAGCATAATGTTGAATAGTTATACATCAAAAATGATGTGGGAGTTCATCATATATATATATATATATATATATATAGGTAAATGGCAGGAATAATTGGGTCTTATTGCAACTGGTCTAGGAAAAGGACAACTCTGAATTCAAAACCTGAGGAGGGTCGTTTTGGGAACCTTGTGGCATCAACTACATTCTTGAGAAATTATTAAAAAAATTCTCTTTCATTTTACATCAGTGAATTATTGCAAGTTGTCATGTCTAAACTTTTAAGATCTATGGGTCACTAAATTTTTCATTCAGATATCCTCTTACTCAAAAAACAAAATTATTGACACCCCAAGCCCTTCTCTTATACAGCTGTCAAATGAACCATTCTTTAAGTCAGAAGGCAAAAAAACAAAATATTGCCCAATCAGATCATTTGTAGAAATTTTGATTTTTTTTACCTTTCTGAATCAGGATTGCACTTCCAAAATATTAGACTAACTATATATAAGTAACTATTTTTCTGTTGCTATTTTTTAAAAGGTATATTTTATTTTCTTATTTTTTTACAATGTAAATAATGTGCAAGAATACAAGACTAAATTTTCTATACATAAAGTATTTGTTTATTCTTCTGGATCCCATAAAATTGACTGAGTCAATGGCATGTGTGTTTAGGTCTTTCTTCATATGTTGTATTTTTTCACAAGGATATGAAGGATTCTGTTTCTCCCTTTCTAAGTTTGCCTTCCTGCTATCTGGCTATCATGTATTGTCCTAAGGTCAGCTGAGTTCACTTTCTGTTTATATTGATGCACCCACCAACATTCTTTGAGGCCCAATTCTGCACTTAGTTTCTTGAAGTCACCTATTGCTTCAATATTTTTGACTTTCTGAGGTGACAAAATTTACTTTGATATCTCTCTGGGTCATCACTCATTGACTTAAAGTTCCTGATGGGCTCTAACTTCAATTCAGACCTGGTATTTTTTAGCATGAATCATCTGCTGCATTTTGACTCCAGGAAAGCTGAAGAGTGGTCATCTGAATAAGAAAAACAAAGGAAGAGTTCATGTTTGTGAAGAAAATTTTGAACCTCTTCTTTCATGTTTTTTCTGTCTGTCCAAAACATTCAAAGGTTATTTTCCTTAGAAACAATGTCAATCAGCATTATAATTAATTGAAACATGTTGAGGGTGCAAGGTAACATTGTAATCACCCTATAAGAAGAAAGCCTCAATCACAAAGCTAATAGCGAAAACACTTTCATTTATCTGGAAACATAAAAATAAATAGCAATAATATTATTATAATTCTGCTTGTCCCTCCCTTAGCACGACTGTTACGCCCAGCCAAATACCTTCATATACAATGAACTATTCTTTTTTGATTGCATGGAAAAACAAAAAAAAACATATCAGAGACACTACTTGGTTTCACTGAGAAAATGGAAGAAAGAAGAAAAGATAGAAGTTTTTAGTGTTTGAGTAAAATGGAAAAAGTTGTCAACTTCAAATCTTTTTTATACCCCCTTACTATTTAAAATAATGACCAACATTACATATTTATGATTGTTATTGCAATATTTTAAAGTTGTTAAGCTCAAATATTTAATGAGGTGATAGAGGAATTTATATAGATATCTTATAGTCATAGAACTCATCATGAGCTTATTCAATCATTAACTTAAGTATTAAGATTCAATAGAAAATTCAAATTAGAAAAATTTTCATGGGTATAATATTTGTCTCATCCATTTTCTAGATTGGTGAAAAAAAATTTGATTATCTTTGATGAGCAACATCTGGATTATTATTTAGAGAATATAAAATTAAAATTTAAAAATTCTTTGAAAAAAAGCTGTGTTTTTATTTTTATTTTATAATTGACAAATTTTATATTTTAATTTCTTAAACTTTTTACATTTCTTTTTATCTGGCAGATTTCAACAAACGTTACGATTGTACAATCAGAAATTTTGTAAATGGATTAAGAGTGTTCAATCGTCTTATGTCCCCTGTAGAATTTGATATTTACATCGAATCTCTTCATTGTGAGTATTTTTTGACTGAATTTCTGGGATAAAGAGTTTACATTATTTATATTCGGGCTATTGTCCTCATCTTTGTTGTTATTATCACAATGTTTCAGTTCTTGTGCACTCCAGCCATAATCAGGTACATATCAATTCAAGTAACCTTTAGGGAATTTAAAACTGAATACTTTATTTAATCTACACTGGTAAATTGTTCTCATTCCATTTGCCATGTCTATGAATATCTCATCTAGTTCTTATTTTAGTACTGCTCAGTTATTGCTCTCATTGTTTTCACTGAGTCTAAGTCTACAATACCCAACTCAAGGATTACAATTACTGTCACCAAATTTGTAAAAACAAGGCTTTCATTCACCAGATTCCATTTCAATGAACTTACAAACTATTTCCCTTTCCTTTATCCAATCTAGCAGCATTATTTATGAATAAAAAGGCCTCTTTCTTGATAAACACAAATTCATGAATAATTATATTGGATATACTACCACTCATTTATCAAGATGGCTGACTTTACATCTCTCTATTAGTACCAATTTAAACTAACATGAAAGCTTCAATATATAACATCTGTAACTGTAAAAAAGTCTGAAAATAATAAAAGCATTCATCATCAAAAATAAAAAGACAACCCCTTAGCATCAACTACTAATGCAGCAACTACAATAATACAACCAAATTCTTTGAAAATGGTTAATAGATTAGCTGAAAGTATGTGGGTCATTTCCATTCATTTGGAAAATTTCTACATACACTAAGTCCAAAACATATAACAAAACACAAAGAACTAAAGTATATTGTCAGTATTTTTAATGAAACAGTGTAGTCCAAATACACAACTGCTAATAAATGCAGATGATATTTTTGTATTTGAGGAAAGAATGTTATTTTCAATATTGGAAATTTTTTAGTGATTGCCCTATTACTATTACTATTCACTATTACTAACTTCATTGAAGTCATTAATAAACAAGAAGTTAGGATCAACACAGATCAAGACTTCATCACAATGTTGTGATGATTTTCTATTTTACTGTTTGTTCTGTCAGCCTGAGCTTCAGAATATGATAACTGCACCTCTGCAAAGGGGTAAAATCCTACCAATGATGCCAACTGATTGAGTGCTTCAGGAGGAGGGATGTTTTAACTCCTGAATCCTAACACATCTAACATGGGCTAGATGGACAGGTGGAGAGGCCCAATTAACCAGCTGGTTACACCAAGCTCTGCAAACTCAGTAAAAAGCTGAATCAGAAGGTGGTGACTGTAGGGTCAATCATGCTAGGAAGGGATTATTATTTCAAACAATTCCTGAGCAAGAAGTTAACTTAGGGACTGAAACTTAGGAAGTTAAATAATTATTACTTTGTCATGGTGTGAGTATACTGACTGTGTAGCCCTGATATGCCAAGACGAATGTGCTTCCCTCTTGGCATTTCCCCTTCTAGGATTCTGTGTTGGTGGGGGGAGCAAGGTCAGTGACAATTTCACTACATGGATACAGAGAAAAATAAACCCAAGTGAAAAAAATCTTTATGGAATCAGATTCTTATCAAGAGCTGGCTGAGGTACCCTTTCCTAGATTCATAATATTAGAATCTAGGAAGGAGGTGCCTGACTAAGTAATTATCACCATTCCTAGTACAGAGGGCTATATCATCAATGGTAAATCCTAAGTCAGTAAAACAACTTAAAAAATGGAATGATTCTGGTAGAAATATCAAATAAAAAGTATGCTTGCATACTGTTAAAGATTTTAAAAATTCCATAACAATAGTGTCAAAGCATGACCGTATGAAACAGTAAACACCTCCAGAGGTATAGTTCATCATGGAGATCTGTTTTTGTACCATGTAAGAGATAAAAGCTGAGTTAAAAAAAGACAAAATGTGACTAACATCAAAAGGATAACAATTTAAAAAAAAACAAAAAAAAAAACAGATAATAAATACAAACATATATATAATAACCCACACCACCAATTGAAATAAAAATGTTCTATTTAATAGCCATAGTAGGTAAATATATACCAAATCCAAGAAGATGTCACAAATGTCAAAGATATGGTCATCTAAAGGAGTATTGTATAAGAAAACAAACATTTGCAAGATATGGAAAAATAGAACCAAAGCATGATGAAACAACATGTAAAAATCAACCAAAATATAGCAACTGCAATGGAGATCACAGAGCTGATGCTAAAGAATGCAAAAAAAAAAAGCAAAATAAAATGAAAATCACAACTTATACAAACCTCTTTGTCTATGTGACACTGAGCCCATGAATCCTGAGCAAGAAAGGGGTAAGCCCAGAATGGAATGTAAGCAGGAAGATAGAGAGAGTAAAGATGGGACTGTCCTTTCCTAAAGTTTATTTTATCTACTGAGAGTCTAAAAAAAAATAATTTTGTCTCTCACTCAGATAAGTTTAGGAATTGAGAAATAATTTTATCTTTTCCTTGAGGAATTAAGAAAACACATATCATTAATGATGAAAGAGACAGATGGTTTTCACTGATGAAAACATTGGGAAATTTAAACAAGGAACAAACCTTTTGAGGGTTGAAGTTATGAATATATAGGTGATCTGGTTTATATTTTTTTAGACAGAAAGCCCAGTTATGGAGAAATAATTTTATCTCTTCCTTGAGGAATCAAAAAATTAAAATTAATGACTAGAATAAAACTATGCTCTTTTCGCCCACTTGCTTTCAAAATTAGAGAATTCAGAACCCCTGTATGAAATGGTAAAGATATAGTTTAAGGAGGAGCAATCTGTAACTAAAAGAATTCTCCAAATTTGGAAAGTTGATTAAGAAAGCAAAATGGGGGGCCATGAACCCTATTGGGATAAATGTGAAATTTGAATCATTGAATCCCCAGATCCCCTCAGCCCCATGTCAGTTTTTTTAAATAAAACTGCATATAAGCAGATAGCAGAATTCAAAAACTTGTCAAAGCATTGAGTGCCTCTGAATGGTTGCCATCTCCTGAAAGAGGTTTGAACCCAGAAGCACAGTGTCACTATAGAGAGATTGAAAAAATTTTTGTTGTACCAAGAAATATATAAACCAAGATTAACCCAATGAATCTTTCATTTTTATTTTTCATTGTGAAGATATTTCTTCCCTTAATACAGCACCTGCCATGGCTTGGACCAGTGCTGTAATTACTACGACATTTGATCTTCCACTGCTCTCAGATCAAAAACACAAGGTGGGCAGAGTTGGTTTGGATTGAAGCAGCCAGCAACCAACAACCAGCTTAGACGAGCATCTGTATTGAGCAGTGCAGTTAGCCCTCTGGTTAACATGTCCTAAGACCCTGAAAACCAGAACACTAAATGCATTTACTCCACTGGTTGTAGGCTGTGGTAAAGGGGTTATATTTATACAAAATTATGCATAAATCACTAAAACACGTCTAAATCTAAATGAAAATCTAGGAAATAACCTGACAAAAAACAAAACAGAAGAACAATTAACATCATTAATAAATGAATTGGAAAATCTCATTAAAGTCTTAAAAGGGAAAAACCTTGGAGAAACTTATAAACTAAAATGACTTATGTCTACTCAACAATCCCTTTTATATAAACCCTTTTTCAGGAAACTGTTCAGCCATTATATCTAACTATATGCCACCCAACAGTATATATGGACTTTTCTTGTGATGTAAAAGATGACACTTATGGAAGTGACCACTTCCCAATCCTCCTGAAAAAAATTGAACAAATAGTGAAAATATATCCTGCTGGAAAATGAACAAAGCAAATTCAAAGAGCTGCGTAAAAAAATTTAACACAAAACAATACAGATTTTATAGAGATACTAATCACAAAGAAATTCAACACCTCTGTCAGAAGAGAAAACTGCACAAAGATCCTACCCTAAGACTAGAAGAGACTGAAATACCAGTTGTAGATCAGCATAAGTTCTTGAGAATAATATTTGACAAAAAGCTTACCTTTATCCCCCATTTTTAATACAGCTCTTCATGTGGTGGCCCACACTGAATAGGTAGCAGACCTACAAACCTTACAAGTCTCTAATTTGATCGAAACTAGACTATCATATACATATTGTCAAGAAAATCTTATTTAAAAGTCCTTGATTCTACTATCCATGGATGGACTTTGGGTTCTTAAAACCTCACCAGTTGAAAATTTATATGCAGAAGCTGATGAAACTCATCTTAAATGGCATTGTAATATTATACAAACCTAAAATCCTATTTATCTAACCTTGCTTACAAAAATACATTCCTCCCACAACACAGAAACCTCTATCAGCAAAAAGAAATAACTCTAAAAACATTTGGGCTCTGAATGGAACTCCTTATTGAGGAATCAAAAATACAACTTACAACAATACATGATAATATTATTAATCAAATTGCTAAATAAATTTAATATCCGACTTGAAAAATGTTGTGATGTGTTGGATTCCAAGTCATGTTGGAATAATTGGAAATGACAAAGCTGACTCAGCAAATATAGAAATTGATGTGAACTTCAAGATCCTTGATACACGTGGAAAGCCAAATAAACAAAAATGTTAACAAGATTGTAGTAACAGTGCATCGAATAAATTACTGCAAATCAGGCCAATACATGGAGAATGGAAGACAGGATACAGAAAATTTTGAAAGGAAGAGGTAGTATTGGCCTGTTTCTGCATTGGTCATACTAGAATTCCACACTCATACTTATTGAAAGGAGAACAGCCAGTACACCAAACTGCAGACACTATAAAACATGTTTTGACTGAGTGTACAGCTCTTGGTCCTTCAAGGAAAAGATATTACAATATAAACAGCATAAACGAACACTTTGAAAGATCAAGAATTAATTTTATAAAATCATTTCTCAAAAGGTTTATACTAAAAATATAAGCCTAACAATTAGAAATGCTGGTATCTAAAACAACCAATGTAGTTGAGATATGATTGTGTAAAACAAGGAAAAATCAGTAGTTGATACTATATGATTGTGTACAAAAAATCTACAGTTGAATAAAATTCAATTTTTATGCAATTTAAGACTGTTTCAGCTTTAAATGGCCCATGACAGGTTGATAAGCCATAAAGCAACCAACCAACCTATTTTACATTTTATGAACTTCTGAAAAACTCTCTTGTTTGAAAGATTTAGATTTGCATGCATTTAGAGATTACTAAGTCACAAGAGATCTCATTTTAGAAATTTCTTTAAAATTGGACATTTTATTGGAAATTTTATTTTTTCAGATGAAGAAGAATTAAAAAGAGATATCAGAAAGCTCCAGGAATATCGAGAAAATGGTTTGTGGCTCCATCGGCAGCAAAAGATTTTCAATTGTTTGAAATCACGTAGAGAATCAGAGAAAAATGACCATCATTTATTGAGTGAAGTGTTGGCAAACATTCAGGTTAGTATGAGTTTGGTTAATTAAAAAAAAAATTCAAAACATCTAATGTGAATATATTTGTCAACAATAGATGAAAAAAATTGGACTTTGTAAGTTATTGGAGTGTCAAGTTAGATCAATATAGAAGCATTTAAATCAACAGCAAGAGGCTTGGCAATGCTGCTCATTAAAAGTGGTTCAATCCCGGAGCTGTATTCAAGCTCTGCCCATTTCTCTTTTGTCAATTTTTTGTCAGGTGCCTGATGAAGGCTTTGTCACTTTGAACAAGAAATTGCTTTTTCTATTCTTTTCTTTTGGATTTTACACTCAGTAGCAGTAGATCTGATCTACGGATGTCTGGTTTATGAGCCCAGCATGCTTCCACTTCTCTTACAATAGATATATAAAAACAGTGGCAATAACACCAGTAGTAGCAATTCCAGTGAGGGTTAGGTGTGGTTTTGCAACTAAAGCACCATTAAGCCTTAATACAGGCTGCCCCAGCAGTACCCAACGATAACACTAATCTGAGCTTCTTAATAAATTTTTGTCTTTTCTGTCAATAATAATTTGTCTTTTCTGTCAATAATACATTGACAGAAAATTCATTCAGGCTTTTGTTATACATTCCTTAAGCAGATGTTTGTGCTCTTCTAGTTTATATTAATGTTCCCAGTTGATATTTTCCTCAAAATGAACCATTAATTCAATGATATGTAATGAAATAGAGGAACTAAATGATAACACAAAACTTAGTCTCTCATATTTAACATTATATTTTATTTAATTCTGGTACTTTATTCTGTAGTTGACAGCTGAGGGGTTACTTCACATCAACTCCACACCTGGCACTTTTGATGGTCTGGTGTGATATTCAGGGCAAATTCTATTCTAACATGGCACTAGATATAAAAATTTCTTTTTAAATTAACTGACCAGATGACAAGGTCATGATGCTGGGCAATTCAACTTGAAAGCCGAAGCAACATTCCAGTCTTTGTGTTACATATAATCAATGTTTTTTTTTCCAACTCCTGTTGCTGGGTTTGAGATTTTCATGTGAACACAAAAAAATGACTGCTTGAATTTGAGATGGTAAGTGTTTCTAATGAAGAGGGGGGGAAAAAAGTTTAAGATGACATTCAAGGACTACAGAATGCAATATCCACTTGAGAAAAGTCAGAAAACACTGGTTTCATAGTCACAACAAAAATAAGAATAGAAGTTTGAATTATTAATAAAACAAGTAGTTTACTTTTTTGATAATGCTAATGATTAGAATAATTAACTCTGATATAGATATTGTTAGTATTTTGCAGAAGATGTGTGACCTTCAACCTTTTCATTGTTTCAAGTGACAAAAATTCATTTGACACAGTAAAAATATTTTTACTTAGGAAGTTGATATGTCAATAGTTGAAATAGTGTAATCAAAACAACAAAAGTAAGGATACTGGTCCAAATGATTTATAAAATAATTCAAATTTTCTTTTCCTCTCCATTTTTAATTTCATCTTCTTTGAAATTAGAGCTTCTTTCCTCTTTTATGTTCTATGACATTTTATCTTCTTTTTTCTTCTTTCCAGAATGATGTTGCTTGCAAGAATTTTTTACAAAGACAAGCTGTGCTGGAACATATTTCCAAAGGGCAATCTCTCTCTCTGCCTACTGCTCGTAAGTTATGGTTTGCAATAAAAATTGTGGAATCATTGAATGAAAACTACTCTCACTCCTTCTATGATGTTACTTCCTACCACTTCTTTTTGGCCAGGATGTATAAATGATTGACTATAATTAGTAGTCAACAGTTTTGTTACACTATCAACACCATTGTCTTCATGACAACTGACAGCTATAAGAACTAAAGTGCGTATATATATATATATATATAATATTTATTTAAAAATTATAAATATGTTATAACATCACTACAAAAATAGCCATTTTGTTTCAACACTTCTAGTGTCTTGTCAAGTGATTGTGTTGCAAGTAAAATAAAAAGTTTTTAATGAGTTCAAAACCAATCACTACTCCTACAGTGGGGAGGGGGGGATATTTTTATGTAAGATGTAATTACAAGCAGATGATAATTCAAATAATACAACAACTGACCCTAGATGCCACTGGACTCCAGCCCTGTGCTGGTAGTATCACGGCTATAACTAGCTTAGACCAGCTCTGACAAGCTATGACCAGCTAAGACCAGTGTCCCGATGTTAAAAACTGACCTTGTGTCACATCCTGATTCAGTGGGGCGTCAAGTAAATATCTTATATATATAAAATCCAGGTACGATGAGAATGAATAGAGTACAATTCCAATGTTTGTAACATTTGATTTAAAAGAGGGCTCAATGCAGAGTAGAGCAATATTATTTATTTTAGGATATTACACCGAAAACATGTAAAAAAAATTGCTACACAATTGCAGTCCTGTTTCAATGCATCTCATCAGGTGATTGTAAATTACTGGCAAGTGAACAATTTAGATTTAAAAGCATATATAGTTTAAAATTGACTATATTTATAGGAGTAATTGTCTACAAAAGATTTGTAATGTTTGTAGTGACCTAATGAGGAATTGTTTACAGGCTTTTGATATTAGGAAACATGGGTTATAGCCGTTATATCCTGAGGATATCCAGTGTAAGAAAGCTTAATTAGATAAGAAAGTGTCAGGTGAAAATCAATAGAACTAATAGAGATGTCTCAGAGTGAAAAACAGGCTAAAGAACAAGACAAATTTCAGTAGAAGCTATGTGATTAAAGTCTTGTTTCAATTGGCACAAAGAGGATAACATGGCAAAGCTACCTAGCTAATGGCATATAGCACCAGAGAAAAAGATAAAATGTCAAAATATTAAAAATAGATGGAAATATCAATCTTACATAATCCATAGAATTCTGAAAATACTTCATTAAATAAGAATTGGAAGGAGATATTTGAAATAAAATATGCCACATCCTAATCAGTTTTTTGAAATTTCACAATGACTTTTTTTCTCTCCCCCAGCTCGACGTAGTGCTCCACCTTTGGATATTGTTGGACTTCCTGGTTATGATAAACTTCTTCCAAAGGAAAAAGAGGTACACCTTATTTTTACCATAAAAACATTCTTATTACTATAAAGTATTTTCTATTTATTATTGTTTATAGAAATTGCCCAAAGGTTTGTCAAATTTTTTTGCGTCACCACTGAATAAATAATTTGTTGTGTTCATTAATTCAAGTACTAAATCATCTTGTAACATTCAACAGACTGAATGTTGCCCTTTTCTTTTTAAAAACCTCAATGTTGAGTGGTTATGTTTCACAAATTTGCCATGAATGATATCAGTACCTTACTAACTCACCAATCAGCCATAGTTAGGTTGATCACAGAATTTGGAAGGGTTAAACTGATAACTGTAACCCTCAACCAATAAACTCTTGTCTCTACAAACCAGAGTTAGTTGTCTTTCTTGAAGGTTGCTTTTCTTATAACTTGCCCCTTCATTCCTATGGACATTTCAACCAGCTCTGCCTAAAACTCTTATAGATTAAAAACTTTATCCCAGTCACTTGCATTGAATTTAAAGTTATATTCAATTGTACTCATTAATTCTAAATCTGGCTTCAAATCTTCATGTCGAATTACAATTTTTGACCAGCTTATTAATAAAAAGTCTATGCAAATTGTTAAATGTGATTCATTTTTCTTAAATAATAATTTCTGACATTGTAATTTTCTTGCTCAAGTGCAAATGACAGAAACTTTTACCACACTTAATGATAAAATATTAGAGAATGTTTTTGTATATCTCAAGATAAGTGAATATTTGTTTTTTTATTGTATAGCTATGTGCTGTTGTCCGTTTGGTGCCAGATGCCTACCTGGAATTCAAGCGGCTGTTAGAGATGGAAAGCCAAAAGTACAATGGTACTTTGAAATTGGCACAAGCCCGCACGCTTATCAAAATTGATGTAAATAAAACCCGCAAACTCTATGATTTCTTGGTACAAGAAAATATTATCAGAAAGGCTCCACCATAGTACTTGTATTCTGGCTATGTATTTAGTTTCAAATAAAATTTATCTGTAAAATATCATTGTTCATATTTCATTCTGTTCTTTGCTGAAAAAGAAAACAAAAGCAAAACACTTTCAATATGAATCAGTTGTTCCTATATTTAATAAAAATTCTTTATAGTACACCAGAAATACTTTTGGTCAGTTTGTATTAAATGCTTCATTTCTGTGTTGTTGATTGAAACCTGGATAACTACACGGTCTAATTTAATTTTTCCAGCCTTGATGACAAACTGTAGTGTTATACATTTGTTAAATATAATTTACATTGTTCAGACTGTTGTCCTCATCTTTCTTGCCATATTCACAATGTGCTTCTTCAGGTGATGAGAATTTCTAACCAAACCCTTTATTTCATCCACCAGTAGATTGTTCTAGTTCCATGCCTCTTCCGGATATCTCAATTTCAGTTATTTTCCTTTAGTAACTCAACTCTCCAAGTTTTTTTTGTGGCTAGGTATTGAGCTAACAACTCTTTTGGTCAAGTTTATCCATTGGGCCATCTGTCCTGGAGGCATCAGTGTATGAATTTTTGGGACTTATGAACCTAACCATTTTTTATTTTATTTTACCAGATTTCTCATTACATTACTGGTTCCCATATTGTTTACATTTTTATGCTTGTCCAGCTTAGGAAATTGGAGGGGGGGGGTAGCTGTCATGTGCCCTAGTCGACAAATAGTTTATAATGCGATCATACGCCGACCAGGAGATATGTACATTATCACATCTGTGGAGAGATACAGGCTATCTCTCCCAGACCATGACAAATGGACAATTAGTAAACAAAAATATTTTAAAGAATACTGTTCGATTATGATAATCAAACAGTAATCTTTTCCCAGGTTCGCTTCCATTTCAACACGAATACTGATCCACAATTCAAGGATAGTAAATTTTGGTATATACACAAAATATTAAAATATAAGCATGAGTAAAGCATCTGATGACCAGAAACTCAAGACTTATGTTCGGATACCAAAATATGCCCAAATCCAAGTGGATTTGACTGAACCCGAACGGATAAAAAAATAAGTATGAATAACTACGAATGCAGAAATCAATGCATAACCAAAAGAGATGGGATAGGATTTACATATTTATATTTTGACATGTGGAAAGGTGTTTGTGTATTTCTAACACAGGTCCAAAATATATAGTTACTTATATTTATATTCAGTTCTCTTTTACTCTTTTCTCTCTCACGTTTCCTCTTTTCTTTCTTTTTTTCTTTCTCACGTTTCCTCTTTTCTTTCTTTTTTTCTTTACACAAGTACAATTTCACACACGGTCCAGCTGTAACAGAGATATACACTTTCTTCCTCTCTGTGGTTTTCTCTTTTCTTTCTTTATTCTTCGTTACACAATTCAGCTTCAAACATGGTTCGGCTGCAACAGAGATATATACTTTCTTCTCTCTGGTTTTCTCTTTTTTTTTCTTTCAAACACAGGCTGTATTCTCAGCGCACAAATTTCCTTGTGTCTTCTGTGATAAATAACTCGATTTATCTTCAATTTGGAATTAACGAACAGAAATACATATCCTTATATTTCTTATCCGGAGTTGCTTGGGATGAATCGGACAAGTTCCATCATTACCAAAATGAGTCTCATAAGTTATCAGCGCTTCGATTTCGTGTCTTGCTCCTTCGAAGCAAAGACAGCAACTGACTTCCAAGTAATTTTCTAATTCTTACGTTGTCCTGCGTTTTGGTGAAAATTCCAGTTCCTGCTGCTTCATGACCTTACGTCAATCCCCTGTCTAGACATCTGTTGCTATGGGTAATTGGGTCAGTCAACCTCTTGACTTGCTTTCCAAAAATGTCTTGAGACTCCCACGTGACCTCTTCTGTAGTCAGGCAGAGATTAACCTTAATATATGCGTGTTTGGGCTATCTGCATTCATCACACTAGCATATGTCCTGATTACTCAAATTTTCATATCATCCAGTGATGTTCTCTATTATTGACCCAGTGGATAAGTGTTGACCAAATTAACCTAGTGACTTGATTCAAAGAATTGTAAGTTTAATACCTGGCCACAGTAGAGATGAACTTGGAGAGTTGAGTTACTAAAGGAAAATAACTGAAATACATCTGGAAGAGGCATGGTACGTGAAACTAGAACAATCTACCCTAGTAGATGAAATAAAGGGTTTGGGTTGAAATTCCAATCACCTGAAGTAGGCCAAAGCGTACAACAGCTAAAACGTGAATATGGCAACAGTATGAATAATGTAAATCATATTTAACAAATGTATAGAACTACAGTTTGTCATCAAGGCTGGAAAATTGAATTTCATTAGAACTTGTTATCCAGGATATTGAGATATCTCACTTGCTGTTTTGATTCTGGCTTGCATTGGTGTTCACAAAATCTGTTGTACATTGACGATAGAAAATGCAAATCCTGTTTCTAATATATTTGGTTATTTATGCATTGATTCACTTGACCCAGTCTGAGGGTAGGTAAGTGACACATGGGACATCATCACTTCTTTCATGACTAACAAACCAGATCTTTTGGCTAGCAACCTCCTACCATCCTCTTTATGCACAGTTCACAACTGTTCAATGGATGGCTCAAAACTCACCATACTGTGACTATTTGTATTAGCCTGCAACCAGAATTTTTCTAACTTCTGGCTGAGTGGCACTTCATCTCAAGTTTTATTTATCTATTTCCCTTCAGCTTACTTTATGCAGTCATCAAACCTGGCCCAGATATAATCATTTCAAACCCATTTGTATGTTCCAGTTGTGAGCAGGTTCCATTATGTCACAGCTAAATCAATGTTTTGTTGCTTGCACAAAATTCTGAAGTTTTCCAAAAGAAAAATGAAATATTTATTGGAAAAGTAAGTAGATAAAATGTGAAACCATTATCTAATACTGGGTTTCTTTGAAGGACACCCAGAGCTATGTGGCAGTGATTAATGTACTCCAACATTTATCTATTTCCCACCACCTACCTCCGTAAAAACAAACCCTACTTAAAAGCAGAAAGAATTTGCCAAATAGATTAAATGCCAACATATTAGTCACACATGCCAAGTGGCTTGGTAATTTCTTAGTCACTGAATAAAGAAGCCCTGGTAGGTTTTGACTAAACTTTTCTAACCCCCATCATTAAAGACAAGGTATATGATTCAACAAAGAAGCAAGCCATCTTATCAAAAAGGATAAGAGATTCTTGTACAAACTGCATATTCCCAGAATATCATTTTAATGCTGACTCCAACAGAATTAGCAAAAGTATGAGATGGTTAAGGTAGAAAAAGAAAACACATTTTTACTGCTGCATTGTTATCTGGCTGTGCTAGTCCATTTTGGGAAAGAAATAGGAAATTGTCGATTATTGGAAATAAATTACCATAAAAATGCTGATGGTGATTTCTCATGTGATTTTAGTTTTAATTGTTTATCATTTCAACTTTTCATTTTGTAGTTCAAGAAAAATTCTTGAATCTAGAAAGATAATAAAAATAATAAAACAACACCAAAAATGTTATTTAATTTCTTTAGTAATCATCGGATTGTCAACAGTAGAGTTTAATAAGTTCATCACTGACGGCTGATGGAAGAAGAATGCCAAGATCTGTGAACAACATGGAGATGTATAGAGGAGGTGTGTAGTCTACCACAGGATGTTTTGAGTTTAAATCCTTATCCAGAGATGCATGGTACTGAAATAGAAAATAAATATCAAATTACAGCAGAAGTACATTTTAACAAATTATTTATTGGTTTAACACAATAGGAAGGACGCTCATCAGATTAAAAGATGAAAGAGCAGTTGTAAGTAATGGCAATTTGATCTACAACATTAATTGCATGAACTGTTCATTGAAAGAATGACTGGATAAACATCAAAAACTTTGTGATAAGGTAATTTTAAATGATAACAAATAACAAAAATTGGAAAAAACTTCAGTGATTGCATTACATGCAATTATAGAAGGTCACAGAATTGACTTTGACCATCTGGAAATAAAATTGACAACCAAAAGTTTTTCAATCAAAGAAGAGTAGCTGAACAAATGGTAATAGCAACTACAAAAAATGCCTGCAGTAGGATAGATGCAGCACAACTCCATACTGTCTGGACATCTTTGCTCCAAAGAAAAATATGATACGGAGAAAAAAAAAAAAAAGTTTTTTTTTAATGCCTCGACTTGCTAATACATTGTAAACGTCATCAACTCGGTTTGTTTTCCTTGATTTAAATTCTTATGCATTTCAAGCTTCTTTGTACTGTTTTACTCCAATTAAGGAGTGACCAAGACTGGCAACTGCTAGCTGAAATATTTCCATAAAAAAATAAATCATTCGTGGAAGTTTTTTTTCTTTCTTTTAATTATGCAACTACCAACAGAGACAAGCATCCTATCTTAGAAGTACATTTTATTTTCTATTAAAAAAACAAATTTTTAAACAAAGTCATCAAAAAAGAAACTTATGATTGCTTGAAAAGTCTTCCCTATAAACAGAAAAACTCTAGTTAACAAAATTAATAAACATTTTTAAATTATTACAAATGCAAGTCAGGAATCATTTGTAATATATGAACCAAATGTCTATAGAAAAGAGTGCTAAAAAGTTCTTGGTCTGACCAACTTCTAAAAATCTGTTATTTTCATACATTAGTGAGAAAAAGTGCCAATTTGCAGGATCCTTGCAATTATTTTTTTTAATGTCTTTTAGATCACTTTCCATGTGCAAAATTTTTCAATCTTATGGTTGAAAATTCCAAAGGAAATCCCTGAGTATTTGATATAAATATTGGATGAAAACTGTTCATTATACTCAGTGTGAGTAGCAGGATGCAGTGATAATTCCTAAAATTATTGATCATACATGATCTTATTTTAGTTGACTGACAAATTTCAACCAGAAGAATTGCAGAGACACTAAAGATATCCAAGGAATGTACTGGGTTTATAAATTATAGTCAGTTGATTATGCAGCTGTCAGTCAAGTGGGTGCCAAACTTTTTTAATGCCATCCAGAAATTATACCAAATTCTTTTTTTTTTTCATTTTCCTGAGGGGGGGGTCACTTGCTGATGAAACACAGTTACTCTGCTATGACATTTGGAGACCAAACAGCAGCCTGTACAGTGATGACCTTCAGGTTCTCCATGGTTCAAAAAAGTCAAAACCAAAGTTGTTTTTTTTTTTTAAAAAAAATAAGGAACATATTTTGATGACTGATTTATCTTCAGAAGAGCCAAACAGTTAATGCAGAATACTATTAACTTTCTGTTCCAATTAAAGGAGGCATTGAAAGAAAAGAAGTGAAGAAAACTGCAAAGAGATTTTGTTTTTGGAGGACAAGGCAACTGCTGACAAGATCTTGTTCCATTTATTTCCTGTTTCTGAACTTTGAAAGGAAGGAAACTTTCCAATGATTTAGCAGCAGAGAATTGTTTCAGTGACCAAACAGAGACTTTGACTAATTCAAACTACTATGTTCATTGTTGATTATAGACACATTTTGGTCAAGTGATTTCTGGCCATCTCCAAGTGTTCACTATTTTGGCTAGATGGGATATCTAACATGTTGATTATAGTGTTACTTTTGTCCCTATGGTGCAGGTGTCATTACATGATTCAAGGATTGAACTCATGACTAACATTTGACTAGCCAATGCTTACATCACTGTCAAATAGGACATCCATAGTGTATTTTTAGAGCTTTTAAAACCAATGTCAGATGATTTTAACATTTGGTTATCACAGCAGTTTCATATTCCTTTTGATTAAATCAAAAGTCTATTACTAATTCCTGATCTCAAAAATCAAAACAAAATTTTCAGGTTCACCTTGTTAAATTCAGTCAGAAAAAATTATTCAGCTGATGATGCTATTAATCGTGACAACATAAATGTGCACTATTTTAGAGATTGAGTAATATTTGAAGAGAATGAGAATATAAATTTTATGAGCATTAAAAATATGTAAAGGAATTACCTGGAACTTTTTAGGGAGATCTTTTTGAGACAATGGAAAGAAGCGAGCAAACTTAAAAAATTCAACAACAACATAAACTGGTTTATTAAAAGCCTTTGCAGCTAATGCAATATTGAAAGTCCCAATCTGTAAAAAAAGAAAATAAAGTGTCAGTAACAAAAGAATATTTCATAAATACAAACAATTTCTATATTTTTACAAAAGTAACTTTTGTTATTGATAAGCATAGAGGTATCAATTAACAATCACAAGCCAGATTCAGTTTTGAGTTTGTTTTTTTAATTATTATAACAACAACTATACTGTCTAATTTGACAGCCATTTTTTCTGCTTTTAAATTATCAATAATTTATATAAATTCAATAGTTGGCCCTATCCAATACTTTATGCACGCATAATGATGATGACTTGATTTTAAACATAATCACTTTTTTAAATTAACTGTTGCTCGACATTTTTATGAGCTCGGAAATGGCTTCCTAGATTTGCATTTATTTTGGTAATAAATAGGCAAATGTGACATAGAGGCTCAGTGTTATCCCTAGTTTAAATGTTTCTGCCATGGGAACAAAGATAACTTTTAAAACCAGCATAAAATTTGGCATTAAATGCACATGCACATACAGAGTGTATTTTAGTTTTTAACTACTGGTTAACATCAGGCAAAATCTCACTTCTCTGAACACACAGCATAAAACTTGGGTGCCATGTGAGCAAATAAATATGAAAGAAAAAGTAATTATGTCTACATTGACATTCATATTATGAAATGGGATAATGTTGTTCTCAACGATCAACCAATTTAGCATCTCGGATGCTATGATCTTCACTGTGGTTGGTTGCTTGAGAATTGAAAACATTTTTTTTTTAAATAAATCATTTACTTGGTTTATATTTAAAAAAAAAAAAACAACTTTTTTTAAAGCAATAGACCAAAAATATGATTGATATAAATGAAAGTGAAAACATTGATATTATTTTGAATTTCAAAATATTATTAATGATATTTCTTTCCATCATTCAATAGAAAACTTTTATGTTTCATGATCACAATTCTGATCTGGAAAATGTCATTTAATAAAAAGTGAATATAATTTACTTGGACAAATATGCAGTAAAAGTGCCATGATCTTACGATTAATGATTGGTGTATTTCAGTTTATCAACCAGTCTTACAAAATTAGTAAACTTTAAAAAGTGAAATAAAGATAGAAACTGAGTTGGAATTAGTTAAAATGTAATTTCTATAAAAAAATACAGTTAAAGCATTTAGGTGTTTAAGTGAATCACATTTTGACTGACTGATATATATAGATTTTGTTTTTGTGAAATAAAATTATTTTCTTGATGGTGTTGGCTCATTGGCAAAACAAGTAGAAGTTTTCCAAATTGTTGATGTTGGTGGAATTCATTGCCAAGTACTGGGGTTCTCCTCGACATTTCCTTCTGTGTGAAAGGAGTCCTATGTTGGATCGGAAGTAACATCTGTAGCCACCACATGGATGGTTCAGGGGATGGAGAGCTCTGGCTTTTCTTTGGGTTCTCTTCTATTTGTCTTCTGGTGTTTTTGAAAGATGTTGCTTTTTCATGGATTGCTCTTCTCCAAATGGTCCTTTTGATGTGAGAAGGCTCTGAGCAATTGTTTGAGGTGGCACACACACTGAAACCATCTGCTGCAGTAAACCAGGCCTTGACAAGCAGGTCCATGATGACAATTTGCATCAGGCTGCAGACTTGTTCTCAAACATAAAATGCTGCCTTGACTGCCTGCCATCAAAAATTGTCATCACACACACACATTATGATGGACTCCCCTGTTGATTTCAACGTATAAGGACCCAACAACCTCATTCAATTTTTATGTTTGTATCGCATGTTGCACTTAAGTCCCACTAGTGACACATATTGTGCAACAGTGAGGATCCTGGGACATAGTAACAGGAATATTTGTGGACGCTATTTGTTGTGGTTCTTTGTCTCTTTGTCATCAACAAATTTTCACCTCAAATAATTAGCTTAAAAATTTTAAAATTTCATAGTCTATAAACAATTTCAAGTTCAAGCAAAAGGTTTAAAAAGATCAACCCAATCATAAGATAAAAAAAAAAAAAAAAAACGTTATGAAGTCATCAAAAAACAAATTGTAGTTCAATACAACATATTTATATACAAATAAAACCTTTTAGAAAAAAAAAAAAAATTTTTTTTAAGGTACACAAATATGAATTTAACGGTGTAACAATAATGCCAACAACTCTCTCTCATTGAAACAGACCAGATAATATGCGTCAAACTGATGTCATCATTCACTTGAAAATAGATACCCTGACATTACCTTGACTTAACCTCTTCCTGAAAGTAACTAATATGTTGATACATTATGTTCAACCATACACCCCTTATTACAATAATTGGTTTCACCGTTTCCATGTAATTAATATTATATATGCTTATAAAGCTCCATAAATTTCAAGATTAGTTATTCCAAAATTCGCTTGAGGATGAAACAGAGCTGTTTTTTTAGCTTTTGTTTTTGAAACATGAAAACTCTTATGTAGTGATGGAATCATATTTTTAAAAAATAATATTATATATATATATATATATATATATATATATATATATATATATATATAAAGTAAAATGTTGCTAGAGGAAAAAAGGAAAAGTTGTCAACATACACATAGACAATCTATGGAAGTTTTATTCTCTACAAAAACATGTAATGTATACAGTTTAATGATATGGACACATGTATAACCTAATTGGAATATCTGATTACTGTTTTAGGAGATTACGGTCAAAGTCCACTGGTCCAGGGAATTAAAATCAAAATCCTTATTTCTATTTGTAAACAATCCATTAAGAAGAAAAGAATATTTAATTTACCTTGTTAATTATTCCACCACTTTCAACAACACTTTCTGCCCCAATCAGAACCAAGTCAACATCAGGCATCACAGAACTGTAAAATAAAAAAATTTCCTTATTCCTTGACAGTGCCTGATAGTGAGATTTAACAAGTTATCAAGTCAATCCCTTTTAATGTCCTTTTTGCTCTTCTCCTAGATTAGCTGTCTATTGTGAATGTTAGTCATAAAGCAATGATCAGCCAATCACTTTCACTTTGCCATTGGTAGCATCATGAATTTTATCCTAAGCACTCCCATTCTTATTGCATTTTGCTGACTACATTTAGTAAATTTCTACACATTACTTAACCAATGTGAACCTCTTTTTCAAGTTATAGATTTTAAAGAGCCATTTTAAAAACAGAAATTTTGTAAAAAAGTACAAAGTCCCAAAAATTAGAGACAGTTACCAAATGAGCAGTTCTTTTCTTTGACAGAAGAATGGGAATTATATGACATAGTATGGGGGGTACCTGGAGTACTAGAACTTTGGTGTCATATCTATCCATCTATTTTCATGACTGTCCACAACAGAATTATTTTTGTTGGATGTTAGGTTTGCAACATCTCCCATACATTTTCACTAGGATTTTGATCAAGTGAAAGGGAATGTTGATAGAATATTTAAAGTCAGCTGAGTATTCTTGGAAACAGTTTATAGGTACCTTTCTTACAAAATTTTATCAGAAGTGGACATAAAATACTATAATTTTATGTACATTTATTACATTTTACCGTTTTATTTGTATTTCCATTCATTTTATTATTAATTTTTATACGGAGATAATATAAAAATAAGATCATATAAATTTTATAAGATGATACTAATACTTGTAGGTACCTTCCTCATTTGAAATTGAAAAATCAAATTAACTTCTCCACACGTGTTTCACACAAACAATTTGAAAAAATAAAGGCTGTAACAGTGGGGAACAACACTTAACTCAAATGACGTAACTTTTTATTGTATTTTTGCTGGTCTTCCATACATTTGAATTACAGCTGTTTTATGGACACAAAAGCCATCTAAATTTTTTTATACAGTCGGTGGTGGGGGACCATCTGATTGTTATATGCTATACAACTTAATAACACCATTGTTTTCACTAATTTTATATTTAACAACTTTCATGTAAAAATAATAAAATAATTTAAGAAATAACAAATAATTGTTTTAAAAATTCATCTTTCATTGAAAAATTTTTTGCTTTCATCCATATTTATAAAAGCAACTAAAAGCATTTGAAATTAAATAATATCTTTGTTTTATTGAGTTTTGTATGTTACAATTCAGAGCTGAAGGTAAAGGGGGTCTGATTAAAAAAAAAATGTTTTGCTTTCCTCAAACTAATATAATCACTAAATTGAGCAGTATTGAATTTCTACACTTTTCCTAAAATTATGGGGGGGGGGGGATAAATATATAAAAAAATATTTTTGCCATGACTTTAAAAAAAGAAAACATATTTATAATAATTTCATGATTTGTGAATAGTTTCTGAAAGTTTCATTAACATCCGACAATTATTTTTATTTTGCAAGATTTTCCAAATTAATGCCTGTCATACAAAAAATGTGCTAAAATTTTATGTTATTTAGTAGCTCTGCTGATACATAAAGAAACAAGGTTTTTTTTAATCAAAAGTTAGGTTGTTCTAAAAAGAAGGAAAAATTTTGAAAAAATAATTAAAAAATACTTTGTTCTTTCCTCTTAATAATAACAAACATTTAGACGATGAAATTTTGTTTTCGTCAAGTTTGGGATCTTTTTCATCATGCTATACTCATTTTTAGCGATCTCATGGAGGTACCTAAGTAAACACTCAGATGAAAAAAGAAATTCTCAATGTCAATGCACTGATAGGTTAGGGTGATTGATTTTACATGTTAATACATGTTTGTTTATTTAATATCAAATTTTGTTTTGAGGTACCCAGTGAGGAGGAGCAAACTCATTACACAATCATATTAGACTCGCAATACCCCAGATCAAGGTACTGGCATGAACTGAGGAGATCAACATTTGAAATTTATGTAGGTGGGTGTTTTCAACCAAATCATTCTATAAAAAGATCAGCAATGCATGCAGAAATCAAAACTGTAATTATCACTAGTGAAAACTCTTAATGCATTGAATAAATATAATGATGAAACTTAGCAAAATTTATCTGAAATTTATCTGCTGAAGAAAAAGTTACTTATAAAGCAGTGCAAGATGTGAAGAAATTAATAAAAAACAAAATAGTCTACTATGAAAATAGTTCATTTCAAAATCTCATAAGTTAAAGCTATTACTAGTAGAAGTAGTAGGTAAGCCATAGCATAGACTAAAGTAGGAACTGACAGACAGAATGGTTATGAAATGGGGGTTCTAAATAACTATTACATTTTGGTCATGAAAGGCAAAGTCTAGGATGCCAGTTAAAGTTTCAGATCAAAATCATTCATCACAGTGCTGTTGGTACAATAAAGAATTATTTTAGACAGAGAGAAAGAGAGGAAAAAAAAAAAAAAAGAAAAGAAAAGAAAAAGAAAACAACTTACCTGACTGCAGCATCAAGAATTACTTGGGCAGGAATACCATAATCTTTTAATTCCTTCACTAATTTATGACTGAAAAAGAAAACATTTGGTAATTGCCAAGAATTTCATTTTCAGTGTTCATGCAAGAAACATGAACTAAACAGAATGGAAATCAATAGTGAGAATCTGGGAGTAAATTATTTTAAGATGATTCAAAGTTACAATAGACTTGAGATAAGGAAGATCATTCTTAAAAAGAAAAAAAAATCTCATGTTACCATAACAGAATTTCCTTAATAAATAAGGAGATCAGGCTGCTGATATGTAGCATTTTATTTTTGTTCTGTTTTAACTTTCTTTGGATGTTTTTAATGATTTTAAAAACAGAGAGGTAGATTCTAGGACTGTCCACAAATTGTTTTTGTTGGATGTGACTACATGGATTTTGCTAAGGTCTGCAATATATCCAATACATGCTCAATCTGGAGAGAGTACCAATAGAATACCTAGAAGTCAACAGATTCTTCCTGGAACCAGTTTTGTGCCACTCATGCTTGATGAGTGGCTGGGTTATGTTGCTGAAACAAAATAATCACCATCAGGGAAACGTGCAAATAGGCAGCAGTTACAAAATAATGGTGCTTTCAAATTCCATCAGAACATAACTAAAACATCATTATAACATGACTACCAGCTCACTTGGCACTCTGGTGACAAACTAGATATATAGACTCATGTAGCTTCCTCCACAGAGTAAACTGTCTGACTGAATAAGTTAACCAGGCAACATGGTGCCCATCTTGTTGGTCAATGACTACAAAATCCCATGCACTGTACCGTGCATTGACTGACAGGTTAAGTGGCACTAGTGTCGAATTAGGATTTGATTTTTATACAATGTTCTCCTTTTGTTATCAATCGCCAAAAATCCTGTACTTGTAAGTAAACAGTTTTGCTATTATTGGCCAAGAAAAACCTAAAGCAGTTGTCACATATGATATACAGTGGTTCCCAACAATCATTCTGCTGTTAATCCTCACCATGGTTGCTGCAGCTAAACTCCATCATCTAGTCGAAACTATTTCTACAAATAGGAAAAGTTAAACCCATTCAGTGTATTGCTGGATATGATAATATTTTAGCACTTCTGCTAAATCATGAAATTATTGAGCCCGCAAGAGCCACATTGTCCCTCCAGCTCTCAGTCTTAACAGAATGTCAGAACATCCACCAAAACCAGATTAATCTGCTGGAGGTCCTGGCAGATGATGTTCTTCCAGCAGCTATATGGTCTGCCAGGAAGTCATCAACAGTTACACTGCACTGCAGTTGAAATAAAGAAAAATTTGAAGATTAGCAAATACAATGATGTTAGAAATTTCAAATGGTTTCTTGGCATCACCTAGAAGGGCCACATAACAAATAAAAATGTCAAGAAAAAACAAGCTTGTCAGTATGAAGAACACCTGACCATGGTTAACCATGCGTCAAGATCTAACAAGTTCCCCAAGATCATTTTTCAGGAAAACTACTAGAAATGATGTCAGTTGGTGAAGTGTTCATCAGTACATTCTCCCCATGCCCACCAAAAATGATGTCAGGTTACAAGACAGTGAGATATGACGTACTCTTAATACAAACATCAAACAGCTCATCGGCCAAAATATAACAAATAAAACAACAAAGGTGATGGTGCAACACAGAAGGATTTATAGAATAATGACCAAGTCTAACTTTGTAAGAAATAAGTAAAGACTTGTATCACATTGTCAAAGGGAAGAGTCAATTTATCATTTCTGAAGTTAAAAAGTAATAATGCAAATAAATGTATTTTTTTGAAACACAAAGTACAAACCCAGATTTATCAGGTTGTGATTCTGCCACGAATACATTAAATCTTTTCTTTTCATTTGCTGCATCTTTTAAGACTTTAAAAACAACTCGAGATCTTGAATGGGTCAAAATTGTCTAAAAAATGTAAGAAAAACAAATAAGACAACATTGAAAGGTAATAAAAATGTTGAGCTAGTAAAATATTCAGATACTGTATTTAAAACCTCAAAAGAAAGCTATTAAGAAAAAAAAAAAAAAAAGAAAAGTCAAATGAATTCCCAAACCCTAAAACATTTATTATTTAATCAATCATTTGTATTTTTAGTAGCTGATTTACTGGATAATAATATGGTTAACAAACATTGTTTACAGAATTCAAAATCCATTTTTCTGGTTTATTAAGATAACAGACCGGTGATAAAACTTTATAATAATTTAGATTTATATATTCTGTCAATTTGAAAATGTGTATATATATGAAGAAATATAGTCTTAAGGTGTGCTATATTTATGGGATAAAGTGCTCAATATCAGAGACAGAGTGTGCGTAAATATAAAAGTGAAATAAATAGAGTTGGTGGCTGAATTCAGCATTTTGACTTTATAAAAACTGGAAAAAAAAAATTGAACTAAATATGATCACAGAATTTGAATAGTAAAGAAAATAGCAAAAAAATCTAGCAGACTTACCGTTCCATCACATAAGAAAGGAGAACAAAGCTTACTGATCTTTGTTTGTGATTTTGCCACTTTTTCCAAAAAGAGTTCCCCACGTTCCACCAATTTAGTTTTGAATTCCTGTAATTAGGCATGAAATGAAATCTAAATTAAAGAAATACTTAAGTGGCAGGAGTAAGCTTTTTGCACCCAAACTCCACATTAAAAATATTTGGTTTTTAGATGTTCAGATATGAGATTGACAGCCTGTATTTTCAAAAACAACATACAATCTGAGGAAAGGCAAATTAGATAACATGAATTTGACTGTTTTCCCATATTCATTATTAAACTTTGAAGAGAACAAATTAAACCTGTCACTGTCAAGTTCACTACATTTATTCATGAGTAATAGGAATAGGAACTCACTTCTTGATCCAAAGATGTAAAAGTGATGAAGCGAAGGTACAGCTGACAAGCTGACTTCAAAGATGTGCCACTTTGATCTCTTTTATCAAGTATTTCTTCTGCTTTTGTTAGGCTTTCTCTCAATTCTTTTAATGTTGTAGCTGTTTACAAAGAGAATATTTTAATCAAATTAATGAAGTAAACTTTTGTAGAGCAAGATTTTTAGTATTCAATAGGGAAATAACAAAAATTCAAAAGTCCAATCTTAAGATATTAAGATTCTTGAGTATAGAAATAGTATAATTCCATACCTTCACCATTTTTAACAATTTCTATAAGAGTTTTTACAGCGGCAAGCGCTGGTGTGGTTTCTGGATGATTTTCAATGATGTCATCAAAATAGTTTAAAATATCTAAAATAAAAAGTATAAAAAAATATAGCAAAATTGAAAAATTACTCATTTTTTGCAATCAACATTCAAAGAAAAAAAAAAAAGACCGATTGCTAATGATTGCCAGGATCTGGAACTTATATCAGCATTTTGTGCTGGTCTTTTCATGACATCTTAACATAAGAAAATTTGTGGTAGAATTCACAATTTGAACTGAGTCATTGATTAAAATGTTATTAAGGCTCTTATTGGACGCCCCACTCCATGCTATGACTTAAAAAAAAAATTGATAAAATATTTTAATGTCAAAATAAATGACTAATTTTAATATAAAATTTGGCAATATGTTCTTTTTTAAATACAATAAATTAAAAAAGAAAAAATAGCAAATTTGAATGGACTTAAAAAAAAAACACAATCTGAAATTTTGAACGGTTGACATTAAAGCTAGACAAACATATAACAGGTATGCCTGTGGCTCACATACAGGTCAATCATCAAATTTTAAAAGACAGGCCTTCAACACTGCCATATGATAATAATACTGAATGACCAAGATAAAATCAGGACAAGTTGATGCAATTTTTACTGCTGAAATTTCACAGTGACAAGAACCTTTTTTGAGAATTGGTAAGAACATTAATGACACATGGTCCTTGTTGAACATGGAAATAGATACAGAGGCTCTATTTCTCCGCCACCACACTGAGCACTTTTCAGCTGACAAAGTCAGTTGTGTCTGCTTCATCTTCTTTTTCCTGTCAATCCACTCATCAGACTAGCAAAAGTAATCCACCCCCAAAAAATGTCCCTGTCACTCTTAGCATCTCACTTTTTATGTCTCCTCAAGCAGGCCTGAATTTGCATATGTGCAAATCCCATCTCGTAGAGACAAGACAAGCACTTATAAATTGCGCTCCCAAGAGTGGCCATATTTTCTTTTCAGCACTTTGCACGCAAGAAATGTCCATGCTCATTTTGATCTCCGGGGTAAGTCATTTCTTTCGTCACAATACCCATTACTACTACACTGCCCCCCAATCACAATACAACCAGGGGGCAGTCTCTTGCATCGCATGCTTCTTTGCAGAGGTATAGCCACAGGGTTTTCATCAACAAGTCATTAGAAGAGGTGTAGGCTGCATCTATGCTGGGCGCTGGCATATCCAGCATTTTTCCAACAGTTATAACTCTTTCACTCTCTGAAGACATGTCAGAGCAGTCAGTTGGAGAGCCTAGTCCAATCATAAGCCACAGATCTCTGACATGGTGTGGCATTCTGTCAACCAAGACATTCTGCGCACTAGTAATTCCAGTGACACACCCAAACTTGTATTTGGTCATACATCATCCATGGGGAACCTTAACCCACACTTGGTTGCCTGTTTTGAGGACAGCCCACCATTGATCAGGTACTGGTGCTGACGTTCCATCAATCCCTTTCAGCCATATGCGATAGTGATGAATCATATTAGCTGGTGCTGTGGTGGGAGATACATCATCTTTTGGAGTGACAGTATGCCAGTACACCGCTTCTGATATAGCACACTTTTCTGGCGGCGATCCTTTTCACAGTTCTGTGGCATCGCTCGATGATGCCATTATCCGAGGGAATGTGCGCACAACAGAACCGGAGTCAGACTCCCCACTCGTTCAAGAAATTCTTAAACAAGCTGCTGCGAAAGGTGGTGTCATTATCCATTAAAATTTCAGCTGGTAAGGCCCTGCTTGCAAAACAGTGCTTTCAACAGGCTGATCACACTTGCTGCATCCTGCTGGTGGAGACGTCGCCAGATGGTAAACTGAGTGGGGCAGCAATCAATTAATGTCAAAAAATGGGCTCCCTTATAATGGGTAATGTCCATCACTACCTGGTGCTATGTCTCTTCAACATCCATAGCACCCTCTGGCAAGTGCACAGGTGATGGGTCAATTGACTGACATTCTTCACACTCCCTGACGACAGTTCTCACAGTTGCCTTGGACACTGTAGAGTCAATCTGCTTTACGAAGTAGAGTGTCTGCCTCACACCAGGATGGCTACTCTGTCAGTGTATAGTTCTGATTTGGTCAGACCCAACCAAGCTCTTAGATACAGTGCAAGTAGGCTGTACAGGCTCAGTGTTCCTCTTAATTGCATCAAACCACCTCTGAGGCACTCTCGTCAGTTGATCGGCTTTGTTTTGGCTAGATTTAACCAAGGTCTCATCCATCGATAACACATATTCGTTCACCAGTTTCATAAGCATGTAGAGTCATCATTGGATGAGCATCTCACTTGCTGCTTTTGTTCACACTCTGGCCCTCCCCAAGAGGGTGTCTGACACTCATTTATGGACACAAGTGGAATCTGTGGAACAGGTGCAAGGTATCGCCTTCCAGAGGATTGCCAAATTCACCCCTTTAATAATAGCATCGAGTCCTGCAAGGTTAATATGTTGGGAGTCATTTTCTGGCTGTAATCAACAGACATCCTCTACCATGGTCCCACCACATTCCAACGACACACCGGTAGCAAGAGAGCTTGTGTCGACCCATACACTGAAGTCTTGACCATCAATACGCCATTTGCCACGTGCCGGGTCCTCCTTGTGCACTCTGGTGAGAACCTCCTTGATCATGGTGTTGAGAGAGGCATCATCAACTTTGTCGTCCCAACCAGCAGTAGCCTCAGATGCTTTTCTGTTCCTTCTTTTCCAGTAGAGTGTGTGATGCTCCCCCCAGACCTGTAGACCAAGCACTTGAGCACCATCTTTTAGCTTCTCCGGTTCTTTTCTCCTGAGTCCAAAGCTGTCAAGATATTCCTTCACATGTGCTGCGGGCATAACACTCTCATCCACGTATATGTTATCAATGTAGGCAGACGCTGCTCGTTATTTGCGATCATCTTTCATTAAAATGGCATCAACAATTGTCTGCATGATGGATGGTGCCACATTAAGTACAAAACCCATACGCGTCAGACAATACCTCCGTCCACTAATTAGCATGCTTTGATAGAGCCAAGGTGACCGGGGCACATGTACTTCAAGTTATGCCTTTCAAAGATCCAACACTGACACGTTCGAGCCTGCTCTCTCAACCTTTGTGCACATACATCTGCATACTCATTCAATTCTTGATAGTCAAGCACAGGCCTTACCTTTTCTTTATTCTGTTGGATGACTGCCATCAGTGGGATCAGACCCTTTGGGAGCCCCAATTCCTCTTCTGGGTAAGGCACCAACCACCCATTACTGATCCATGTCTGTAACTCCCTATCATATTCTGCTCGAGCGCTAGCAGGAACGTTGTATTCCGAAACTCTGTTTATAATTTCTTTGGTGATTGATTACCGGACCACTTTTACGACACCGTCCAGGATTTGGTGTGTCGATCGAATTCTACACTAAAATCAGGTTCTTCCAATTTTATTATAGCACCCAAAGTATGGGCTGCCTCAGAAAAATGCACCCTGCCTCACTTGTCAATGTGCACACTGCCCAATTCTTTAATGATGTCCATTCCTAGGAGGAGGTCAAATCCTAATGGTTTGCTGTTCACCACTAGCACATCTGTCTCAAGGGGATTTCTGTTGGTCACTTTCAATGTGATGCTTCCAACACCATGGCTAAAAAGACACTTCTGCCTGCCTGCCTGTCTGCCATCAAGATTGTGGTGCGTTTCTGTATTTTGGGTTGACATATGAACCCACTTACAATGGACGAGGAGCAGCTGCTTTTTGGTCTATCCCATAAATTTGGACTTTTATCACAGGGAACATTTTCTTTAGTCCGTGTGGGGAGAGAATGGTGCTTACTTCTTGCCCCTGGCCTTGTTTCCTGGACACCTTGATGCAATATGTCTTTTTTTTCTGGCACCAGTAGCAGCATATCTCTGGGAGCGTCCCTTTTGTTTTGTCACCTTGTCTCCACTCTCTAGGGTTCCAGCAGTGTCTAGCAAAGTGATTAGATTCTCCATGCTCATAGCATTGCAATCCATCTCTTCACAAGGGAGGACCCTGCTGATGGCAGCAGCAACAGGCTCATCAACCTCCACTTCCTCATGAGGGCTTGAGCCCTGGTGAGAACCTGCTCCAACGTCATATGTTCCATCCTTGAAGATGCCCACAATTGCTGTCTGATATGACTAGGAAGTCCCGAGACAAATGCACAATCAGCCATCGATCAGGCAGACCTCCTCCAACCAAACGTGCCAGGTTCTGCAAATTTCCCAAATACTCGTTACGGTTTCTCCAGGACATAAACGTTGAGACATAAACATGTCAAATGCCACAAAAGGATCTGGTGCCTGTTCCAAGTCCTCCCTCTGGTCACAGGACAATCATTGGTACACCAACAGAGCTCCATCTCTCAATCTTAGTGGTATAATGCGCTCAACATTGTTCACCCCACACATCTTGCACACAAGCTCTGCCTGTTTCATCCATTCAGACACTGTGTGATCTGATGAAACGCCATGAAATTCCAGAATTAGCTGGATGTCAAATGCCTTGCCTGCCATTACAGCAAACGAAAAAGCAAACGCCAAAATAGATTGTAACAAAAAAAAAAAAAAATAAATGAGGAGGGGAAGCGGAGGGTAAAAAAAAAAAATCAAATGCAGCGGTCACCCGGCAGACCGACTTTTCTTCTTCCTGACTCGCCTCAAGGAAATAGATTCTGGGGCTCTAGTTCTTCGCCACCACATGGAGCACTTTTCAGTTGACAAAGTCAGTAACGTCTCCTACAGCTTCTTTTTTCTGTCAATCCACTTGTCAGACTAGCAAATGTAATCCGCCCCAAAAAACATGTCCCCGTCACTCTTAGCATCTTGCTTTTTATATCTCCTCAAGCAGGCCAGAATTTGCAGACATGCAAATCCTGTCTCGTAGAGGCAAGACAAGCACTCATAAATTGCGCCTTCAAGAGTGGCCATATTTTCTTTTCAGTAATTTGCATGCAGTTGGATAAAGCTTTCTTCATTCTTGTCTTGGATTAGAAGTTGTTACGTCCGACTTTTGACTCTGTCCAGCCTAAGTT